TGAGGGCCAATAATCTGCCCTCTGCCTCGGAACCAACCGCCCATCCCCGTGTGCCCAGCCATCTTTTCTACTAATGTAAGTTTTAAAAAACCTAATATTATTGATATTTCTCTTAATTATTAATTGTGTGTGCATACCATCATAAAGTTAAGATAATATTTTTACTACAACATAGTTGTGTGTCGTCAAAAAGTGGAGTTTGGGGATTGGCCCGGACTCCATTTCAATTAATCCGATATGTTATGTTATTCACTTTACACGTTTCTCACTTTACGCGGGACCCTCCGGGTTACATTAACCGCGTAAAGTGAGGGTTAACTGTATATATGTTGTGCTGACAAAATAACAGAAACAATTGAGACCCTGCAATTGTGTGTAAATGAGGCAGAAAGTCAGATCAGCAACCTGGGGCTTGGTCACAATTTTTGTGATGCCATATGGCACACACACACAGAGTTAACACCTAAGGCCTGGGTGGCTAGTACAATGTTCTATGACTACATATATAATTATGTCACCTTTCATAGCACGGTACACAGCAGCTAACAATCTATCTAATAAGTGCCTTCTGGTGTTAGACAATGCCCCTTTTCACCCACAGACTATGGTTGACTGGTGTGGCAACATCGAGGTGATGTTTTTGCCACCGAACACCATCGCGCTGCTCCAGCCCTTCATCAAGGTGTAATAGCCATGTTTAAGGCTTACAACACATGCTTTGTGGTGGCGCAGCTTGTGGCAGAAACAGACAGTGGTGGATTGTCTGTATGAGACTTCTGGAAGACCTACAACATCAAGAAAGGCCTTAACAACATCACACAGTCCTAGGATGAATTGTCACCTGCAACAATAAACGGTGTGTGGCGACAGCTTAGGCTTGAGGCTGTCCATAGCTTCAGGGGCTTCAACCGTGCACCAGATGTCCCTGAGGTCACCAAGACAATTGTTTCTCTGGCACAGCAAGCTGGCTTCGACGAGGTCACAGAAGAGGACATCACTGAGCTTCTCGTCTCTCATGAAAAGGAGCTCGGCAATGAGGACCTGTTGGAGCTGGAAGTTCAGAAGAAAGAGCAGGAAGCAGGGTACAGTAGTCACCACGCACCTTCTCTACTTTAGTTTTGGTGAATCCCGAGCATTAGGAACCTTGAGTACAGAGACAGGTTAAAGCATCTTAATTTGCACTCCCTAGAGACGTAGAGTGAGGGGCGATATGACAAAGGTGTATAAATGGAAATCAGGGCTAAAGAAAGGGAACATTACAAAAGTACTCAAACTATCCAACCAGGAGCAAACTCGTAACAATGGTTTTAAATTAGACAAATTTAGATTTAAGCACGAAATAGGTAAACATTGGTTTGGAAATACTGTAGAGTAGTGGATGAATGGAACAAGTTACCAAACTTTATAATTAACTAGAATATGCTTGAAATGGATAGCTTCAAACATAGGTTGAATGGATAAACGAGCAATAGGGCTTGGGGGTAAATGGGACTGCCCAGTATGGGCCAATAGGCCCCCTGCAGTTTCCTCCATTCTTATGTTCTTATGAATGTAGCTTCATGTTTAGAAATGGCCTTGAGAATTTGTCCAGCTGCTACAGAGCTTCACCTTCAGAAGAAGGAGCAGGGAAAGCAGGCCAAGGTCACAGATTTCTTCAGGCCTGTTCCTAAGTCTCAACCGGATGAGCCTCAACCATCAACTTCTTTTACCGTCTGTACCCATTTTATGAAGAAAAAGCATCAGCCAGCCCCTCTGCCAGAGTCTCCACCTGTATTCACTAGGTTTGAGGACCCTGACGACCCAGTAAGCTTACCCCAACCCAACATGTTCCTATGTTCCTCCAGCCTCGGGAAGGAATGCCAACTGAACGGTTCATCACAGGTAAATACAGTACGGGTATTTACTGTGCAGTAGATAGTGATATTTATGATTCATTTATACAGAGGTATATGTCTGGTATATTTTATTGCTTGTCAGTGTGGACAACAGAGATATGTCGAGGGTAGATGGGAGTTTTTGGAGGGTGACCATGAATTTTTTATGTTCTTATGGGATTAATTGCTTTGATAACCGTTGATTTGCGAACCAATGATTTTTCCTGATCCCTATATGCATTGGCTATTGGGGTACACCTGTATTTTAAGTATTCTTAAATGAAATTAAATTTCATATACTGTACTAATTACCAGTACAGTACATATTGTACAATAAAGGTGTAGAGTTGTTAGAGTGTGTGGAGTTTGAAAGTGAAAAAAAAGAAAAAAAAAATGTTTGGAGGTTTAAATATTGCCTTAGCCCAAGCTTAACCAGTTGACTACTTTATCCTAACGAACCTGAAAATTAATGCATAAATTTGTGGTAAAAAGGGAGGGAGAGAAAGATCACAGAAGTCTCGAGACCTGAAAAAAACTTGAGACCTATATCACAGATGTGTGTGTTGGGGGGTTAAAGGCCAACACCACTAACCAGCCACCAATTGTATCATTAGAACTACTGAAACAACACTTATAAGTTATAACAGTATACAGTATTAATAAAACAGGGAAGGTGAGGCAGTTGTAATGCTCCAACAAATGCTTCAATTTATAGGGATAATGCTCTAGGTATGAACAATTAGGCTGATGTCTTCCTTCTAACAAGAAGATGCCTCGACTTAGATTGTTATTGGAAATTGCTAGATAGCCAGGTGTAAACAATACAGGCAACTTTAGCACCAAGAGATGATTACCTCTCAAATTTCAATGTAACTGTTGTCTTTAACCCCTGGGCTTTGGACGGCAACCCCACACCCCCATCAGTACCAGGAAAATTTAAGTCAAATTAAAAGAAATTCTAGTCATACAGATTGGTCATGCATGATATAAACAGGAATTAAATATATGTCCATACCACAGGTTGGCAACACATGGGCTAGGAAGAGTTGAGAATGTTCATAATGTGGTGTATGTATGACACAATAGTTCAAGGTAAACAACAGTATTTTGTAGGCAGTAGGAGGTACAGGACACTTGATTTACTATGTTATTACTGTTTACAATCATTATTACTACTCCAGTAATTGATAACAATACTAGACTTGTGCTTGGGGGCAGGGGGGGTAGAGATACATGGTATAGTGAGTCGAGACCAAGGACGAGATTCCTACATCACAAAAGCTGGAAAACTGCTGATAAGAAACTGGAAGGCACACATGTGTGAATGAGAGAAAGATAAATACCTACTGGCAACACAATCTAGCCAGGCTCGTCCTTTTTATTCAAATAGGCTCGTGAAAGATCAAAACGTCATGTGACGTAACCCAAAGCCTAGGGGTTAATATTCCTTTTTATATGGGTTATGGTTGTAATAGAAGAGTTGTACAGTATTACATAATTCAATTAGTGTCAGCTCTGTCAATGTTTATAGCTAAGAATGGGTTAAGATGTGTATATACAGGTTGTACTTCTCTAATCCGGCAACCTTGGGACCTGACCGGTGCCGGACCATGGAAATTCACCCTTTTCCTGGATAGATAGTGACTTGTGCTTATGCTTGGAAGCACTAGCACCACTTTCTCTGCATCATGGTCTCTTTTAAGACATATTAAAGGGTTAAATGTCGTATAGTAGCTTCTCAAATTTCGCGAGTTTTTAATTCAATGTATTTTATTGGAACACAAAAAAAAGTAATTACAAATTTTGACGGCGGAAACTTGAATTTCGACGGGTTTGAACGGCCCGCCAACGTGCAGACGACGTGCATAATCTTGTAAACAGCGTCATTTCCCTTATGTACAAAAGATTCATTATTGTTTATTACTGAATGTCTTTTTTATTGAATTAATGTTTATGTGTGCAAAATGAGCAATACAATTCATTAATAATACGTAGAATATTAAAACACATGACGAAATGACACAGCATTGTTTTCATTGATTACAAAACCAGTGACTGACTGGTTCTACATATAAAACTGAAGAAAATAAGACTTTGGTTGTAGCTGTAGTAAAATTAATGTGGTTGTTTTAAGTAATGTTATTTAATGTTAATAAATGGAACAATAGAAGTAGCTAACGATAATGGTAAAGAAAAAAAGAGAGATCGCATATGTAAGTGCGCACACGTGAAAACATATCGTCATTACTTTACATAAGAATATGAAAGCAACACTTATTTACTGTTCATATATATTTTAATTAATGTTTCTGAATTTGTTTTTATTGAATTAATGTTTGTGTGTGCAAAATTAACAATACAATTTATTAATAATACGTGGAATATTAAAACACACAAAGAGACGAGACGGCTGCCAGCATTGTTTTTGTTAAAGCTTACAAAACCAGTGACTGATTGGTTCTACATATAAAACTGAAGAAAATAAGACCCTGATTGTAGCTGTAGTAAAATTAATGTAAAAAAAATTATATGGTTGTTTGAAGTACCTGTAATGTTATTTAATGTTAATAAATGGAACAATATAAGTAGCTAACCATTAATGGTAAAAAAAAAGTGAGACTGCGCATATGTAAGTGTGCACATGTGAAAACATATCGTCATTACTCTACATAAGAATATGAAAGCAACACTTATTTACTGCTCATATATGTTGAAGGGTTAAATGTTGTACTCCGTATAGACAAGCAGAGAGAGAGAGCGGCCGAACTGCCGTATGTAAACAAACCTTAATTTACCGCGGCTTTGTTGTTTTTGTTTTTTTACGGGGATTTGCCCACCCGGGCATAGGTCACTGACCCACATTGGGGCCTGAGGGGTAAAAATTTAATACTCCTGTGATAATAATAATAATTCAGATAAGTAAAAAAAAAATATAAATAAAAAAGTTGCCTATCTACCTATTGGACAAACTAAAATCGTTCCGGACCACGGGAGTTTCCGGACCACAGAATACCGGACTAGAGAAGTACAACCTGTACTGTATTCAGTGGATACATTACTGTATAAAAGTCTCCTTGGAAACTGCCAGCAGGTTATAATTGAAGAGGTGAAATAAAAGTAGTGAAACCCAGGATACTGTACCTATATTTTTTTCATCATCATACATATTCAGACAAAAATATGAATTCCACAAGACCTTATATACAGCACAATACAAAACCTATAAAATAATACAACTATACTAATACTGTATATCTTTGTTCTCACTGATGAAAAACATTCTGCTAAAAACAATAATACTAAAGACTAATTAAATGATTATGTGCAAATATATCCTAAAACCAAGCCTCATCCAATTAATAGTAGCAACCTAATGTTATCACTTAATTTCCTCAATGCAGGTATAGATGGTTTCTACTGTACAGTACAAGAATATTGGTGGTATAGAAAAAAAAAAGGTTCTAGATGAGACATCCCTACTGATGGAAGGGATTTTTCAGAGGAAATATGATATTAAAATTGAAGTATAAAAAGCTAAAGTGTTGTTAGTGACATGAACCAAAACCGTTATGATTACAAATGAATTTTTATTGCAGTACCATACAACAGATAACATATTTACATAAAAACTCTAATACAGTACAGTACTGTACTGCTGAAATGAAAATTAGTCTCATTTCAAAGAAGACATACATAGCCTTGTAGCATTATTGAACATAGTAGTGTAAGTTACATTACAGAGCATAGAAAATAATAAACCACACCCTCATTTTTAACATAATTTTCCATTATGCCTCATTTACATTGATAGATCCACATTGTTTCTTGTTATATACTCGTATGTACTTGAATGATGTCATTTTTTGCATTCATATTTTAATAAAAAGGAACAAGGTAGTGGTTCCATTTGTGGATGAGTTAGACTTTCCCAAAATATTTTCCATATATTTTGAGCATTGATTGGAAATGATATAAGATGAATAAATATACTGTATAGAGACAGAAGAGATTAAAATACTGTAAGGACTAAATCACTATCTATCTTTATCCTGCTATGTACAATATTGTAAGTGAGTACGTACAATAAACATGAGGGAAATGTTCACAGGCACAGGGGGACTGCTTATTTAATATCATTGGTCTGGTTAATATAGTGAAGGTAGTCCTGGCCATTCTGCTTGTTTTACTACACTTTAAACAAACAGTGGCGCCACATCTCACAAAACATGACAGCTACTGTACCCACTATAAAGGGAGACAACTGTACATACTGCACTTTAAACACCTTAAAACATGTCTAAATGATGACCACAAAAATGTCAAAAGTTTGACAACTTGAATTGTTTCCAATAGACAAAATGATCCTGGACATGTCCTAGACAAAGTACCAGTATCTTCATATCCCCGCCAAACTATTCAGTTCTGCTTCCCTTGTCATTCACCTTACATGCACATTACAGTATATTGATTTACTAAACTTAGCTATTTTTCCTGATTTACCAGTAGCATGTCTTACAACCATGAGTGCAAAGTGTGTATTGACAAGACTGTTTTTAAATTTTATTTCATTATTTGCATGTAAGAAATATGACAATAAATCAAATAAAGGCATAAACACAATATAAATGGGGACTATGAGTGTTTTATTATGAAGCTTGTGGTTATAGACAGTGCCACTACATTGTCATTGCACACCTCCATAGTGAGACACCACTCACTCAGCTACTCTCTACACCTATATAACTAAATAAATTTTGTTGTAAAAATTTAAAATTAGCCTATTTCTCTTCACTAACTAGATTAAAAACTGAAGTTATTTGTTTTGAGTATATACTGTACTCTATTACAAAAATATATAATTTTCCAGTTAAATATGCACTATAAAAGTAGGAATGCATCTCCAATTATATAACAGGTCAATGGAAATGGAAAAACAGAATTCAAGTTATGGACAACTTTTCAGAAATATAACCCTTCCGTAACCAGAGGGGCGCCTACACTACACAGTACTCTAGTGACAAATAACAAATGGCATTATAAACAAATTACATGGTATGGTAATACTGTACTGTATACCCAACTTCACAAGGCCACATACATACTTTTCAGTGTTTAAAGTGCAGTGCTGACCTTTGTACTCACTAACATCCTGAAGGTCAGTGCGAAGAAACAGAAACATTGCCTTGCTCCTCAATTATCTTGTTACCAACCACCGAATATCTGTAGAGTATCACATTTGGCATTAATTGTGGCTGGAAACAAGAGGAAACTAAGACTCCTCCATAAATGCTGTCACACACACATACCAGTACTTCTAAGTAGTGTAACTTTTTTTCAATTACTCTTTCATATTTATTAAATGAAATTAAAATCCTGGGGTATAATAAAATCTCATAATAGCACCATACACACTTGGTCGCAGGAGGAAACCCACACCATTTGGGTTGGAGAGTCAAGTGTTACCTTCGTCCTAATACAGCCGTCATTGAGAAAGCCCAAATCCAAAATTCAGTTAAAATTTCACAAAATGCGGTGTAACTTTATTTATGTTCCACTCCAGTGGTCGGCGGCATCTATATAATGACATTTTTTAATTTGGCGCTTCTTCAGTCACTGCTGCCACAGGCTAAGGGTTAATTATACGTTTGGAATAACCAAATTTATTTACTTCTCTATTTTCACCCCTGCACCACTACTTTACCTCTTCCTTGCTCTTTTAAGAGTACTGGTATCAACACTACTGAAAAAACAACAAATTGAATTAAACAGAGAAAATAAAATCACACTGCTTTTCTTAAAATTATAAATCTGAGATAAAATATGAGTTTCAAAAACAAGGAAAGGATTCTTCTTTACATATGTTTAAACTAACACCTTATTACTCATACAATACTCTACAATGTACAATAGCCTGCACTTATATCTCATACAGTGGCTAGCACATTTTGCGAGATGTGGGCTGTTTGCTTACATCATATTAAAACTCCCGGAATGGTCCTAAGTAACCTTGCAATAGTAGACAGACTAAAGATGCTAGATAAGCATTTCATAGAGTTGCCACATCTCAAAATGTACGACTCACTGTACCAGGTATAGTGCAGGCAAATGTACAAACATGTACTGTACATATTAACCCTTTCAGTTTGTAGTGAAGAAAGACTTAAAGAAAAGGAGCTGAAAAGTTTTCTATTATAAATCCAAGAAGCCTCTTCCCCCAAAATTAATATTAATAATAAAACAGTGAAGATCAATCATACAAGTACAGAAGAACTACCCAGTATGCTATATCACAGCCTTAAATGTCATAGTTTGCTATTTCATGAAATTCAAACAATATCTGAGCGGACACAATTCCTTTCCACAAAACATTACCGTGGCAAAGTAAATAGATTAGTGAAGCAATTATTGTAAATTAATGTAGCCATCTCTGTAAACTAACTTTTGTCATCACCTTCTTTTAGGTCCATAAATCCCTATATTTTATCACTGTGCAAACCATTACTCAGGCAACACTTGGTCAATTTTGGCACAATTTGTACCATTTCCTGATGTTGATCAAACCTCATATGTTTGGTGCAAATCCACAAACCCATCTCCTGCTATTTAGGAAACAGACAGACAGGTCCAAAAACACTACCCTAACCCACAGTTGTGGGCAGGTTAACTAATTAGGTAAAATATATTTACATCACAATGGGATGCTTCAAGTGTCAACTCTGCGGTGGGCTGATGAGCCCAGTATGGCACCGAGTTATAGAAGTTATGGTTGTAGCTGCCTGTTGAACTTTCACTAATGGTCACAACCCCATCTCGATTTTGAATTATATATTAACACAAAATTTGAGTTTATGTGTAATGTATCGCTTTTGATTTGATACAAGAAAAAAAATTATAGTATTGAATAAATTATATAAAATACCTCCTAGTACAAGTGTATACTGTACTGCACAGTGCAAAATAAAATGTGAAGTAGAGATCCTGTTATTTCATGGATTAAGTGACTCCGGTGCAGACAATGAGGCTATGGTCTAACAAGGCTCAATACAAGGTGTAAGCACAAACTAGCTCACTCATGAAGTAAAGCTGTCTAGAAAATTACCTCCTTTAAACAGGAAGATTCCTGTACTGAGGTGTGGTGCTGGAAATCTAGTATGGTTGATGACAGACAAGTAAACTACCTACTCCCAACTTTGAGGGCTTAGGTTACAATGAAGCAGTTGTATTACGTGTTTATTAATGCCAACCACCAGCTTATGGGTTAGCATGAGTTGCAGAATGCAGACTTAACGGATAAATTCACAAGTCCCCTTGAACTAACAGAGCAATAAAGAGGGGTCTGGAGTGCGTCAGTTGCCCTTCTGGTTGAAACTGACAGTCTTCACTATTGTTCAATACATGTGCATTCAATACATCATTATTTCTGATAGAAAACACAATTATTAACCCAAGTTCCAGCTCACCTCAGCATTCTCGGAGGAGGGAGGGATAGATCTGAGTTGGCCAATCCATGTTCGGTACATAAAGCCAGCTAATAAAGGAATTATGGAGGCAACACAGCTCTAGGAGTTAGCTCAGCTCTCACCCGTGTGCCATAAGCTCTAAATGATATGCAATCCAAAGGTACAGTATAGGTGGAAATAGGTGTAATCTCAATAATCTGAGATACTAGGGACCTAGCCTTTGCCTTTTTTTTTTTAAATTTGATATTCCAATTGAATACTCTCTCTTAAAAATGGCAAATGCAAATCTCATTTTGATATGATTGCCAGATTTTTCAATCAAGTGCTTTTCCCAAAAGACAATTCTGTACTTATGTATTTGTTGGCATACAAGATGATTTAGTGTATAAGTCAATCTCAACCTTTCAGCTAAATAATTCATGTTTAGGACTATATTTGACTTGCAAAAACTGAACATCCATTGATTCAGGGCTCCCCACCCAAGCATGTTATACTAAATACAGTACTGGTAATAAAAAACTGCAATAACATGGGATGCAGCAGTGATATGAGCCAACCTGCAGTCACCGAGTTATGAACAGGTTACGTTCCTGGACCCTTTTCGTAAACCAATCTCTTCAAAAGTCAGTCTAAATAAATGTTACATTCATATCTAATAATGAAATCATACAGTAAATGTTACACTTTACGTTGAAAAAATATGAATATAACTTGGTCCCAGATCACTTTTTCATTTGATCTTCTATCCAAACACTTTGAAGCCATTCCATCTCCTCAAGTTCCTTTGGCCGTGATCTCACACTTTTGCTAGCACTCAAGGTTTTTCCAGCAATACAGCTTGCTTTAATCTTTCCTGCATTGTCTCTAATGGTGCGTAAAGTAGACTCCTTTATTCCTGTTACACGCACAATATCACATGTTCTTTCCTTATTTTCAAAACGCTTGATAACATCAAGCTTTTCTTCAAGTGGTATAGCCTTTCTTTTACGATCACCACTTGAAATGAGATCACCAGAACGCTTCCTGGAGATATTCTTCTTTTCCACATTCACAAAATTGGAGAAACAGTAAGCAAAAATCACTGAGGACGCTTCAAAACTTCCCACGCGTTTCAAACTGATCATGTGTGACGTAAACAGAGTGTGCAGGTGTAAAACGCTATGTATTTTGTTTTTCTCTTTTATTTAAAATTTTACAATTTACATATACACCTAGACCCCGACTTACGACTACGTGGACTTACGACCGTCGGGACTTACGACCGCCCCAGATTTTTTATTAAAAAAAATAAATAAATAAAAAAAAAAAAAAAAAAAAAAATTTTTTTTAAATAACACGCATTTTCTATACCGAAACGTTTCCAGTTAATGTAGTCTCCATGTATAATTAGAAAATTATGGGGGCCCCATGTGCATTCAGCTGACTACATTAAAGGTTAAGTGGTCAGTCACACTGTATCCATTCCTTATTATTTATTACTTTCACTGTACTGTATCCATTCATCATTATTCATTACTTTTACTGTACTGTATTTCATTGTAGATTTTTTATTAAAAGAAAATTTTTTTTTTTTATCTATGTCGGACTTACGACCATGTCGGACTTACGACCTGGATTTGGGTCCATAACCCCGTCGTAAGTCGGGGTCTAGGTGTACTGTACAGGTATACTGTATACATAAATATTACATAAATTATTTCTGCAATTCTTCACAAGCAAAACACATAAATTAATTGAACCTGTGATGTCGAACGTGAACTGTAAACACTGCATAACCCCGTGCCAAGCGACAATACTGTACACTTAAAACGTTCGAGTGGAATCGCATTACAGCCAACACGCATTCGCATTTTACAAATATCGTTCTTCTATTCATCTATCGCGTTACAGCCAATTCGCGTTACAGCCAATTCGCGTTGACAAAACACGCGTTATAGCAGAACTGACTGTACTCTGATTTGATGACTTTAGTGATTTTCGCTGTTTTTTGTGATTTAAAGTGCTTGGTCTCTTGTTGTCAACACCTGAGTAGCCACGGCCACTAACATTGTTTTTATGTTTTGTCACAAGTTCTCTTACTCTGTTTTTGTGACTACAAAGTGAGGAGTGTTCTTAATGATGTGATGAGTGTTGTTTAATTGTTTTCTACTTATTTTATTGGCTTGGGAATTTTTTTCCAGTGATACACATGTGTGTGTTGGACTGGCTGGGAATGTATCCCATTGAACCCCATGTTATAATGAACGTGATTTAAGATATTTCAATTTATGATGGGGTTTTCAGGAACATAACTGCATCGTAAATCGAGGTTTACCTGTAATACTAATAAATAAAAAACAAAAATACTGCATTGCCATTTGGCAATTGTTTCACTACACACGGGACACAGAAGACAGCGAACATCTGAGATCCCTCACAGACTACTGTATAGACAATAAAGATGGCAGTTACTTGGGTAAACAAAACTGGAAGCGTCATTATGTTATTCCAGGATTTTCCCCAGTTTTCTAGGGGAATTCTGATTTTATGAGAGATGGGTTTTCGTTTGGAAAAAAAATTCAGAGAACCTTTTTTTTTCTTTCAATATTGGATTATTGAGGTTACACCTGTGGCCTCATCTAGGCCATGAGAGAAGAACATCTCTAATAAACAAAAGATTCATCTTAATGAGATCCCTTGAAGAATGCCAGGACATGTGCATTAAGCATACAATCGAATCTATCTATGTCAGATTAAGGGGTTATTGTTGATTAAAATATGATGACTCTTTACTGTTTGTTTTTTATACATGGTATTAAGATCCATGATTAACACTGTCAGCTATGTTGCAGAAACTATCAGGACACAGTATCATGTTATAGCAGAACATAATACTGTACAATACATGTACTGTCTGTTCAAATAGGGCAGGGAGAGACAACACAGGAAAGAATACACTGACCTCAAATAATTATATTGCATGCACGGTATAGTATATCAAACTTAATACCTTAAAACTCTTGTGGGAAAAATTTCCAAAGGACTCACCTCATATCAGCAAGAATTGTCTTATATTCTGGAATGAGATGATTCATTTCATTGGGCAATGGATCCATAGTCAAATAATCATTAAGGAAGACTGGAGGGAGGCAAGGTATTTGTAGCGAAGCAAATCTTGCAAGATCAATCTTCTCTGGGAGTTTGTTAATTTCAATGAAGAAATGAGTAACATTTTCAACTTCTTTGTATGGAGGTCTGAGAGAGGAAGAGAATAAACAATAAATTAATTTGAGATGTTCCAATTCTGCAATTGTGGTGATTCAGTTTAGTTTGCAGTGTCAATGTTTAGTGTTTTGAAATAATGTGTAACTGGGTTAAGATTCATTTTGCATGCTGTATGTAATTTGAAGATATGAGTGAGTGTGTGTAGGGTATTTCTACATGTCAGTCCTTTCAGGTTGTTTTCTATAATTCTTGAACTACTCTCCTCTATAATTATCATACATATCCCACTAAGGCTTCTTTACCCTTTTAGCCATCTCATACAAATCAAGAGGCTCCCAAGTGCCTGCATCAATCAGATAGTATGACTACAACATGAATGTGAAACCTCAGAGCAGAGACAGAAAACCAATCTGAATGCAGCAATATAATAACGTGTTGATTTGGTGGCTATATCAATGAACCTGTCTTAAGCCTCTTGCCAGTCATTCATCTTATGACCCCTATTGAAAATCAGACCAAATCAGTGAAATTAATAATTGCAAAAAATTATCTAAAATGTCAAGCCACTGATAGTTTCATGTGCATATTTTTGGAATTAATGGTCTTTTTCCATGAAAACTTAAGAAAAAAATTATCACAAATTGATCTCCAACTTTCTACAGAGGCAAGCCACCAAATGTGAGGTTCCTCTCTTTCTCTCCACCTGGGAATTTTCCTACAGGTAAGAAGATTCAGGTCCATAGGAGTAAAATCTCAACATTACTCAAAAACTCAGTTGAAACAAGTACCGGTATCTCTCATATAAGTAAGTGAGATCTTATTTAACATTTTGAAACTCAAGTTATATAATCAGTAGAAAGCAAAATGTTTATTTTCCTTCTTTAATTTGAACTACAATATTGGCTAATTTGACCCACCCTAATCTTCATATATCATAATTAGTTTCATTGAAAAAGTAGAGTTTTAAGCATTCTTCACCTGGCTCTGATAACCTTTCCACCACCTGCTTCAATAAGTCGAGTAAAGGATGCAATTCGGTCTTTACTCGAGTGAATTAAAGCCCTCATGCCTTGAAACGCTCCCTTTACTGTCTCCTCATTGGCTTCATCATGGATTTTCATCCGCCACCTTCGGGCAGCAGCAGCCAGTATTGATTCCAAACTTTCAGGTGTAGTTTCTGCTAAGCGCGTAGGGTTACCCCACTCGTATGGCTCTTCCTGTTAAGTATAAATTAAATCTAATACATACAATTGCTTTAAATTTCCTGGATACACTTTTAATGACACTGTAAAGTAGAGTACATGCTTTATATAAACCCATAACCTCCAACCACTGTACAGTACAGCTATCTCCCCCTGTTTGCGAGGGTTACATTCCTGGAAATCATCATGAATCGTGAATTTGCAAATATTGAATTTAATATCTTGTGGAAAAAATAGGGTATGGTACAGCTGCAGAAATGTGTTCCTACATCCCCTGTGGTAACCCGTGCCTCCAAACGGCAACGTCACAGTAGCAACACTACGAATGAATGAGTTTTGGTCGTGTAACTACGGACATGTTTGGTGGACAGGTTTGCTATAGGTCATATAGGTTGGCCGTTTGGTGACACGGGTTACCACAGGGGGTGGTAGGAACACATTTATGCAAATGTACTATGGTTACCAAGATTATCATTTACTGTATGTTATAATAATTTGGGTTAGAAATGGTGTACAGTATGTTTCAGAGATGGTGTTGATATATTATGGAGTAAGTTTTTGTAATACAAATTAATAAAAAAATTTAAAATTAATTGTTTTCTTTACCTATAATTCAAGTCTGAGTATATAAACATGTAACTGATCTCACTCTGGATATTATTGTCTACCCTAGTAAAGGAGTTTTCTCTAATACTGTATAGAGGAAAAGAGTAAAAATTACACTACTGTACTGAAATGTGGGTAAGAAATAAAGAAAATATAAGTGCAAAACTATTACAGCAGTACCCCAATTTATGTGGTCAATTGAACCCACAGGGTACCGCGGAAAGTGAAAACCGCGTAAAGTGAACAACAGAACATATGGGACTAATTCCAATCGAGACTGGCCCGACCCCCAAACTCCACTTTTTCCGACACAATACCTATGTTGTAGTAAAAATAACATCTAAATTTTATGATGGTATGCTCACACAATTAATATTTAAGAGAAATACAGTCGCCAGGTTAATGTCCATTCAAACAATGGACTCAAATTCCCCACTGGCCCCTACACCTCTGAGAAATGATTGGGTGAAACACTAGATTTTAACGTTTAGTAATAAATAATACCTCAGACTAAAGTTAGGATAATATAATTGACATTTCTGGATTCCTTGCAGGTCAGGGAATATTTTGAATGTAAACTTCATATATTTTGCACAAAAGATAAAATACTTGCTTTGTGTAAACCAAATTATTACATTAGATCTAAAATTTGTACAGTGGGGTATGCTATAACGAATCTAATTGGTTCTAGAACCTTGTTCGTTATAGCATTCGTTCGTTATAGGATTAATCCGTTCCAGGCCCCCAAATACAACCACTTAACACTGAAAAATATAATATAAAATTGTAAAAATTGTAAAAAAGTGCATAAATATGCATCTAAACCCCTGAAATAAAGAATATCATTAATACTTGTAATAAAAAAACAATAAATTAGTAAAAAAAAAAAAAAAAAAAAAAATTTTTTTTAAATAATGTTCGTTGTAGGAGTTTCGTTCGTTATAGCATTCTCAATTTTATATGTAAAACCGTTCGTTATAGGAATATTCATAGTAGGATCCGTTCGTTATAGCATACCCCACTGTATGTCTAATGCAAAATCCATGATGTTTATATTCAAAATGATCATCATATTGTAAGAATTCCAGCAATGTAAATTATATTCTGGTCGAGTAATTTGTATGAATTTTATGAGCTAAAACAAATATCTTCAGTTAATAAAAAAAAAATATTCTTCACAACACTATCTGTCAATCAAAGTACCCCAACTTGCCTCCCCCCCCCCTCTTCCAACGCGCCAGATGGTCGGTCGGTCCCAACCCTCCCCCCCACCCCCCACCTTCCCTCCCTACCAGAGAAATGTTGGGTGAAAAAACTAGATTTTAACTTTTAGTAATAAATAATACCTCAGACTAAAGTTAGGATAATATAATTGACATTTCTGGATTCCTTGCAGGTCAGGGAATATTTTGAATGCAAACATCATATATTTTGCACAAAAGATAAAATATTTCTTTGTGTAAACCAAATTATTACATTAGATCTAAAATTTGTATGTCTAATGCAAAATCCATGATGTTTATATTCAAAATAATCATCATATTGTAAGAATTCCAGCAATGTAAATTATATTCTGGCCGGGTAATTTGTATGAATTTTATGAGCTAAAAAAAAAAAAAAATTATACTTCACCGCGTATATGAGTAGATGCACTGCGGAAAGTGAAAGTCCGGTTCTGGCAAGGTACCGCGTAAATGAGAAATCGCGGAAAGTGAAACCGTGTAAAGCAGGATAATACTGTATAGAGAAATGAAGAGCATGGGTGTGTATGTGTGGGAAGTGAATTATGTTTTGAGACTGTTAGCTATAATTGCGTCGCCAACCTGCCAACCACCCACGCTCCCTCCCCCCGATGTGTCATCACAACAAACACACACACACGTCTCTGAGACAGCTGACCGAACCGTGTCATCTCACCCATAGGATGGTTTGAGTCTGGGAGGAGCTATTTTTTTTACATAAAATGTGTGCTATTGTATTTTATGATATGCTATGTATCAATCTTATCATTTATTGTTGATATTTTTTTAAACAGGGGCCAAGATCTGGTTGAGCCTTGATGATTGAGACAAAACACTGCCATTTTGTTGTTCATGGCAAACAGGATAGTCATATTTTTTTTAATTTGGGTTTGCCGAAAAAAGAATAGAACTACTGCCAATTCTTTTACGTTTATGTGTTTGTCCCAAAGGGAGTTGCTCCACTTCCCTTGACTCAATTCCCATTTTGAGGAATGGTATCCAAACAAAGTTTACAACTCCACTGGTGACACACATGCGCATGAATGACTTACGTATGTTGTTTGGATTTTTAGACTACTGTAAATTAGAATTTTTACCGAACGGGACAAAGTTCAGTTACCTGAAACATTCGGATTCAGATATGTAGTTGGAATTTGGGTTAAAGGAATTGCACTGTAAATTAAATAAAGTCTACAGCATTGGACTTACCATTGAAGTGGAGACATCCTGCATACAATGACCTGACATGAGGAGGAGGTAGGTGGTGGGTGTGACTGCTTTTGAAGACTGTGTATATATTGTACTGTACAAAGGATACTACAGGTACACCACCGGGAAGTGATGGTCCAGCACCACCTTTAGTCTGGACAAAATTATGAGGGGGCACTTAACTTCCCTCCCTCCCAGCCAGGGTGAAGTTAGTTTTAGGCTTAAAGTTTTTATATTATAAAATGTAGCTGACTAGACTTAGCAGACTACAAATTGCATTGCTGGAATCCTTGTAAGATAGTGATTAATTTGAGTACAGGTTGACAACCTTTTATCCGAAATTCTGAAAACCAAAACTTTTTTTTGTGGGGCATTTTTATTTTTTTTTAAAACAGGGATTAGCCCACCCGGGCATAGATCACTGACCCACATCAGGGCCTGGGGGGCGAAAATGTAATAGTAATAATAATTATAATAATAATAATAATTATTCATAGTAAATAAAAATTTTAATAAAAATACACCAAAATAAAATATGATAATAATAATAATAAAATTTATTAATAAAATTAATAAAAATAACAATAATACAGGAGTACTGTAATAATAAAATAATAATAATAATAATAATAATAATAATAACAACAAAGAAATACAAGAATGAAAAAAAGATCAAAAGTGAGAAACACGACCTAGACCTATGAATTATTATTATTATTATTATTATTATTATTATTATAATTTTTATTATATTTTCGCCCCCCAGGCCCTAATGTGGGTCAGTGATCTATGCTCGGGTGGGCTAATACACATTATATAAAAAAAAAAAAAAAAAAATCACCATTCTGAAAACCGAAAAATTCCGAAATCCGAAATGCCTCTGGCCCCAAGGATTTCGGATAAGGGATTGTCAACCTGTATAAACATCACGTAGCTTGCACAAGAGATAAAAATTTTAGTCTAGTGTAGTACAGTTGTGTAAAAAAATTTTAACTCATATTTTCGGGAAGATACGTAACTTTCTTCATTTATTTTTACTCATTTACATGCACACACCATCCTAAATATATATTGTGAAAAAGTAAAAGAAATAATTGTCCTAAGGGTAAACCTGTAATAAATTAATTACTAAAAAATTTGTGTCTAGTGCAAACTGTGTGATGTTTATACTCAAATTAATCACTACTGTATCTTACAAGAATTATAGCAATGCAAATTATATACTGCCAAGTCAATTAAATGACATTTTATAAGAGGAAAACTAAAACTCGTTTTGATAACTATGCACTTTGTTTGTTATCTCCCCTCCCTGACAGCTGTCAACACATCTACCACCCCCCCCCCCTTCCTCACAGCCAGGGTGAAGGCAGTTTAGCCTTTAAGTTTTTATCTTATAAAATGTTGCAGACTAGAATTAGCAGAATATAATTTACATTGCTGGAAAACTTGTATTATATTGATTAATTTGAGTATAAACATCACATAGTTTGCACAAGAGATACATTTCTTCGTCTAGTGTAGTATAGTATATTTGAGTACAAAGTGTGAACAGTAATGTTGCTCAAAATTATGGCTTTTTCACATTTAATTTACATTTAATATTTGTTTAATTTAAGTTTCTAGCAGTCCAAGGTGTTTTAAAGACACAGGAGGTGTATAATTAGTGGGTCAAAGGTGTATTGTTGAATTATTTTTACCTGACCTCGGTTGGTCCGGCAAAACGGATAATCCGGCAAGGCTTTGGAACCAAGGGTGCCGGAAAAATCGGTGGTGGACCTGTACTGTACAATGCTTCTCTATAATCTTTAACCTATCTGCAACAACTGGAAACATGATGTCCTTTTCTCTCACACTTTTCCCTCTTGGGACCTATTTTAATGGGGCCAATTTTAAACATTTTAGAGGTTATAATTTAGAAGAAAAAATTTATTCTTTGTGAATGCATGCTCAGACCTCCTCACTTTGTGGTATATAAACATCAACTGACACCATGTGGTTACTAGGCTACCTGGCTAGTCTGGATTAATCGAAGTCAAAACCATAAATAATAAATCTTCAAGAGTAGAAAAAATACAATACCTGTATATAAATTGTATTTTAACCTGAGAATAAAAGTATAATATAATAAGTATAAGCTGTTCACTGCACTGTACACTCACCACTATAAGTTCTCAAATAGCTGGGCATGACCAATTTTGGAATGAGCACTATGGCTCATGCCATCTCAGAATGGTTGGTATGCCTGGTTGCAAAGTGACTCAATATTTTGTAATAATACATGTTGCTTGTCTTTATAGTATTTACAGGTGAAAAAAGTAATTTAATTTGCAATAAAACTTCCTCAGAAAGCAATGTTCAGATTTCTCATTTGTTTTGTCTATTATATGATCCCTAAAGCATCCGAGATCTTTTTGTGGCGAGTGTACACCGGCAAATATATTACTCACCTCAACAAAGTACCCCATTTTTAAAGAATCTTCTAAGAAGGATTGATGTAACAACCACTTCCCAGAAGCTATTGCTCCCAAGTGTCTTCCTGAACGATGCAGTTTGCAGGTGACAATATGAGTACAGTGAGGATCATAGTGTTGTTCTAAACTAATTGTTCCTCCTAATTCCTCAACAATCTTCTGGTATTTTGTGAATTCCTCTCCTACCATACCAAGTAACGTGATAATATACCGAGATGTTGCCATGTTTGACTGGTCGGTGGTCTTCATTGAAGATTCACCATCTTCATATACCATTGAATAATCTTGTTCCTCTGGTGTATTCTCTTTGTCATTCTCAGACTCTTCCTCCGGTGGACACTGGTGAGAATACAGAGCCTCATTAAACATTAAGTCTAACCTTGTCCCTTAAACTTATTCAATCTTCAAATAATGGGGAGGTTTTTATGTAGACTATTTGCTCTGATGGTACAATGATAAAATTTTCTTGTGAAAATTAATACAGTGGTGTAATCAAATTTCTTGAATGCCTAATGAAAGCAACAAACAATGAGAGGGAAGACACTGTGTATGTGACCAGATGGAAGGAGGGGGGTGGGTTATTGCCATGTGCTCCAGCTTTGGACCTGTTTTTTTAAAGATTCATTATTATAATCTCATATAATCAGTCTCTTATTATGTAAGATTCCTCAAAAATAACATAACATCTTCAATAGTAGAAAAATACAATATATATTTTGTAATTTGACCTGGGAATAGAAGTACAGTATAAGCTGTATCAAAATTTATCACTTTCCTGACCCCCTCATCCCCATCTCTTTGCCACTGGTTGACTCTGTAGCTGGTCAGGCATTTAGTTGAAGACTGTTAAATACCTAATTAATGTTTCATTTCTTAAAGATATATTAAATATTTTTTAAATGTTCCTTTAAATCTGCTTTTAAAGGTTTAATACCAAACTCAACCAGCTGATAAAACCTAGTACTGTACTGTACTGGTCAGCAGCATCTACTGTACACAGATCATGTACAATTCACAACACCAGAAGTTCCTTTGCTCCATCAGTCACCTTCAGTCTGAACAACTTTAAGTCCAGGAAGCAGTTGTTCAATGAAACTTGCTAGGTGTTCATAAAACAACAAAATTCAAATAACATAATTAATGGCTATGTTTTTAAGACTCTTTGGCACAGATTTGATGAGTACAGTGTTGGCCTTTTGTTTCAAAATAATTATTAAATAACTGTATCACTTTATTAATACTATTAGCCCTTTTGGTGGTTGATGACACTATTTGCTTCACTACATGGGCTGTGAGGAGCGAGCTGTCTCCCTTGACTCTGAGCTCTTACAATGGCCAGACCACTTGTGTGGGAATCCAGCACGTAAGAAATTATCTTTCCACATTCATTTTCATTCATCCCATATCAATTATACAACTATTTTGTTGTTTTATCACTGAGTCAAATACTGTAGTTTATGTTTTTATCAAACACGAAAAAAAAAAAAGAAGTCTAATTTCACCTTAAAATTGGTAAATGAGCAATAAATTCAATGTAAAATATATATGCATTTTGGATGACATGTCATTGGCCTATCTAAGGGCGAGATTTGAACCACACGAGCAGCCAGCAATAGGGTTAATACTGTATAGGTAGTATAGGTACTACCACCTGGGAAGATATTGGAAGTATAACATATTGTCTAATGGTAGACCCTGCTGCCATATGGCATCACAAAAATTGTGACCAAGTCCTAGGTTTTTTATCTGACTTTCTGCTTCATTTACACACAATTGCAGGGTCTCAATTGGTTCTCTTATTTTGACAACAAAACATACATATATTGTTTCTCACTTTGGATCTTTTTTTTCATTTTGTATTTCTTTATGGTTCTTTATTATTATTATTATTATTATTACAGTGGTGTTATTATTCGTATCATTATTTTATTTGCATTTTTTTAATAAATTTTATTTACAATGAATTATTATTATTATTATTATATTCCCCCCCCTCCCCCAATGCGGATCAGCGACCTGTGCCCGGTTGGGCAACTTGTTAAAAAAAAAAAATATATATATATATATATATATATATATATATATATATATATATATATATATATATATATATATATATAGATAGATAGATAGATAGATAGATAGATAGATAGATAGATAGATAGATAGATAGATAGATAGATAGATAGATAGATAGATAGATAGATGGGTAGATAGATAGATAGATAGATAATATAGATAGATAGATAGATGGATAGATAGATAGATAGATAGATAGATAGATAGATAGATAGATAGATAGATAGATAGATAGATAGATAGATAGATAGATAGATATAGATAGATAGATATATATATATATATATATATATATATATATATATATATATATATATATATACCCTACTGATCATTTCCTTTCTTACAGTAGCTGACTAATCATGCTCTCTTCTATAATCTTCCTTCTCACTACCTATACTCTTCTGGATATTCTAGCGCTGGAAAATTTCTCTCCACCAATACAATATTGTGTAGTCTGTGGAATGAAAATAGGGATTTTATATATTAAAGCAAATGTATAACTTTAAAGATCAATTTCCTCCATGTCAGAGGTATTTTAAATTCTACTGAACACTACAGTGACTACAAGTACAGTATACCAGAGCGTACCTGACGATTGTGGTTTATGATCTCCTGTGTATCTTTTGTGAGTTGGTTTTGTAGCTTTAATCTTGCCACAAGTTCTTGAGGATCCTCCCAAGTGATAGCAGTACTCTGGGATTCAACAACATCCACGGTGACTAGAATCATCAAATGACAAAACAGTACTGCATCAGTTTGCATTTTTCTTAAAGACAAAACTATTTTATACACAAATTTATTGGCCTATACATGAGCATGCTATATACTATATGGTATGCTCATAAGACTACAGTAAATGGAAGATAACATTATATCATCTACTGCTGTATGGTGATATTCTTTAAGAAGGAAGAGTCTAGTTACAGTACTAGTCTTGTTTTTCCATTCCTGTTTATATTTTCCCACTATGATGCATGTGGCTGAAATCAAGAGTAACATGAACCCTTTCTACATTCTGCCATTTATACTCTTCACCAGTAACTGCCACTATAGTGTTTCTGTTGTTTCAACAAAGACTAGGATATCCACTTGATTTTTCCCTATTACTTCACAAAACTCAATATCATTCACCAAAAACAAAACCCAGCTTCACAAGCAGATATTTGGATATCAGATATGTATAATTCTCACACATACTCATGATAAGTCATACAGACAGCCATGAATCATGTTCTTCATCATACAAGGAACAAACCTACTCCATAGTCTTATTAACTATAAAAGTACTCTTCTGAATACTGTACTCATATTAAACTGCATTTGGATGTACTGAAGTTGATTTTAGGCTATGTCCTTAACTTTTAGCAAGTTTTATCAAAACAAAATGTTCTTTAGTTGATTAATATCAATACTGTACCACTTGCCAAGTTTCATAAAAGTTGGTCTATCCATGCTGGAGGAATCTTGTTTTGCCATATACAGTGGGGTATGCTATAACGCATGGATTCTACTACGAATATTCCTATAACGAACGGTTTTACCTATAAAATTGAGAATGCTATAATGAACGAAACTCCTACAACAAATTTTTTTTATTTTTTTTTACTAATTTATTGTTTTTTTTATTACAAGTATAAATGATATTCTTTATTTCAGGGGTTTAGATGCATATTTATGCACTTTTTTACAATTTTTACAATTTTATATATTTTTCAGTGTTAAGTGGTTGTATTTGGGGGCCTGGAACGTATTAATCCTATAACGAACGAATGCTATAACGAACAAGGTTCTAGAACCAATTAGATTCGTTATAGCATACCCCACTGTACAGTATAAAGAAACTATATAAAAGGATAGGACTAATTTTCATCATGCTTTTAGGTCAGCTGAGTATTGGCTAAAACCATAAAATTCTGGTGAAGAAGTACAAACTTTAGCCATTATCAAGACCAAATAATATTTACCTTTATTATAAGAAGCACTTTGTTCCTTGATCAACAAATAGATCAGCAGTGTACACACATGTGCATGGAAGGACACATGTATACTGTACACACAAGCAGAAGCAATTATAGCATCTACCTAGGCCCTCAGTTAAGTCCAAAGAAAATAATTACTGTATGCACATTTATCTTCAGAGGGCACTTGTTATTCTAATTGAATAACACTTAAGTAGAAATCAACAGAATTAACTATGTTCTGACTAATTAAGATAACACATCTTTGAATATTTAAATCTCCAAAGAAATTAACACAAAACAAAAAGAAAAAAATCTTAGTTTATTTTCTACAACAAGTATTTCTTATTCAGTACATGCTTAAGGCCAGGCACTAAATATTTAAGTCTTTGAAACCTTTCAGGTTGTCTATTGTAAAAAGACAAGGGTATAAAAAATGTAGCACATCTTATTACCATTTAACATCATATAATCAACAGCAATACACTCACCATGTTGCGTTTCAACATCCATAGGTCTGGTTGGTGTGTGTTTTAATTTCTCACCGAAAGATCTTTTTCTGATTACTCCTGAATTCCTTCGCTCTGATCCTGTGCCAGTTACTAGGGCCTCAATTTCTTCTAACTGTTTTGATAGTGCAGCCTTTATCCGATCCTCGTCCTCCATATTTTCTTCACAATCACTGCCACTGTCTTTATTTTGTCCTGGTTCCTCTGTTTCTTCAAGTGCTCTCTCTCTTTTATCAGGAGTTGCCTCCAATACATTTTTCTTTTTTGGTCGGCCCCTCTTTGTGGTTGGTGTTGTCTTGGAGCTAACAATTGAGAGGGACATTTTTGGATTATGAGTGTGGGGAAACAGCACTTCGTCTATTCTTGTTTTCTCATCACGACACATCCACACCCAATCAGGAGAAACAATCAACTTATCTTGGTCTCGGGCTAGTCTGAAGTCTTTATTAGTGTCATTGCTTCGCCCCTGAAATATAAAGTGTGTGACTGTATGGTCATAGGCCCAGCGATAGTCTCCTCCTAGTTTTTCCACAGCCTCATACAAATCACTTTGTTGATCTTGCAACTTCCTGGCCGTGCATACAATCACACCAGCCAAGGGACTGTGATCATCTGCTCTCTTACTCTCACCTTCCAACTCTTTATCTCTCTTATTGTTATCATCACCTTTTTTTAACCAAACAGGAACTTTTGGTTTATAATTTTGCACAGTATCTTTTATATCATTAAAGAACCTTTTATAATACACTTCTAAAGGAGTTCCTGGTGGAACTTTTCGCTTTGCTGGTGCTGGATCGGGCATAGACTCTATGAGGCGCTTAAATCCTTTTCTTATTCGGGACGAAGGGTTAGGGTACCATGTACTTCCATAAGGGGTGTCTGGAGTTGGCATCTCAGAGAGACTATCATGAGGTTTGGACACACCAGGTGTTGGATAAACTGGAAATATTAAGCACTCATATTGGTAAAAACAATTTGAATCTATATTTATATATTTTTATATTGCATGTACAATATAACATTCATTATATTATGAACAACTTGACTAATACAATATATATATATACTGTGTACACACACATTACTGTACATATATTTTCCCTTCATTCACTCTTACTGTTCTGTTATAGCACTCCATTTTCATAACAAGGACCCAAATCTGGTTTACCCCTTTCACCTCACAAGGCATCATTACCATCACCATTTTAGACATTTTCATGCAAGTGTGGGTTAGCCACTACTACATGATGCCATGGTGTCATATTTTCCATCAGGTAAATTTCAAGCAAATTTTACTGGTGGATGGCCTTCCTATCATCAAACCCTTACAAAATGGAAACTGAGCATTACATGTAGAATTTCCAAGTGCCCTTTCAGCTGGCAAGACGGATGAACTACTCCACGAGATAATCAAAGATTACCTAACTATCTATATTTTTTGGTTTTCTCTGGCAGCCTTGGAACCAACAGATCTCTGATGATTACTCCAAGAGCTTGACCAACACAGTAACTAAAATTGACATGAGCGTGTGATGGCTGATCTGATTATCTTTATGACCTCAGTCACTTGCCCTACAGTACGGACATGATGGCCCTTTGCCATCACACATGCTTTCATTCTTAGTCTTTGACACTCCTGAATTTACTCCCTTCAGTTGTCTCCAACTCACTTCCATTTTGGAATTTGTTTCACACAAAACATGGACTTCCAAGTTCCTTTCCTCTCAAAGTTTTCAATCAATCTTCTTGTATCACATTGATTACATCCAGGCTTTCAGACATTCCATTTGGTCTTATTGTCCCTTGCTACAGAATACAACAGGGTAGTGATACTTACGTTTTCTGAAAGTTTCAGGATCCGGAGTCTTTATTTTTGAGGGAGACAGGGAGCATTGTTCCCGGAGAGCTCTAACCTTTTTATTCATGGGCGTTGCTGCAATTTCCATCTCCTCATCAGTGGCTGTTCGGCGAACTTTCTCACTCCCATCACCTGATACTTCTTAAAATTGGAATAATTATTAATAAATATTATCCTCCAAGATACCGTATGTATAATATTGCACAGTCTACTCAAATCCATTTATTTATCATTCTCATTTAAATGAGATGGAACAAGAACATCAAGTTTCTCTCTTCACATAAATGTTTGAAACAGGTTCAAGTTTCACTATCACTTACAGGGGAAAGAATGTGCATCAGGCTTCACCCATCATTTAAACAGGAAGGAGTATATTAATCAGGCTTCACCCATCATACCACCTTGTCTAAGTTACAAAACCAGGCTATTTTGTCTTCCATCGTCTCCAAACACACAGGACTTCTTACATTTGTTGTGCCCTTAAATATAAAGTTCTTCTCTGCCTCTTACTTACAAATATCAATGCCATATTCAGAGTAACACTGATATCCCCTTTTGTGCACACTAGCCTCCTCATATGGGTGCCATCACAAGTTTGACAGGCCACCAAAATCCACTATGTTTTGCAAAGTTTTGTGGGATATAAATCGATTTTTATTTATGATACACTATACAAACTTACCAAGTAGAACTTTAATAAGTGCTTTCTTATCCAGTTCTGGTTGATTTTTGTTGGAAACCTTAAATAAGTCTTCTGACTCCCTTTTCTTACTCTTGACACATTGGAGTAACCAATCACTTGTCACAGCCGGCACACCCCATCTTACAGCAGCATTATACTTGTCACCTTCAGCTACTGGACATATTAGGTGCGTGGCAGCTCTGGCGTTTTTTGCTGCAATATCTCTTCTTACAAAGACTTCTTGAAATCTGTAACAAAATTTGGTCCATATAAAACTGACTGATGCTATTAAATACTGTATTATATGGCATATAAGATGCACTTTTTTGTCTGTAAAAATTACTATATAAATTAGCTTGTGCTATGATTATACTAATACTTTTATGGTAAATTATGAAAAAAAATTTAACAAAAAGTGTAAAAAAAATTATTTTCCATTTTTTCATACATATGCTATAAGTATTATCATATATTATTGTACTGTGTAGTACAGTATATACTTTTTGGGGGGGGGGGGATTGGTGCTTTTGGTTTCCTTAAAGCATTGTACTGTAGCATGTATGGTTTGGTAGTACAGGTTGCACCTCTCTAGTCCGGCATTCTGTGGTCCGGAAACTCCCGTGGTCCGGAACGATTTTAGTTTGTCCAATAGGTAGATAGGCAGCTTTTTTTTTTTTTTTTAATCTGATTATTATTATTATTATTACAGGAGTATTAAATTTTTGCCCCTCAGGCCCCAATGTGGGTCAGTGACCTATGCCCGGGTGGGCTAATCCCCTTAAAAAAAAACAAAGACAAAGCCGGGAAATTAAGGTTTGTTTACATCCGGCAGTTCGGCTGCTCTCTCTCTGTGCTGCTTGTCTATACAGAGTACAACATTTAACCCTTCAATATATATATGAGCAGTAAATAAGTGTTGCTTTCATATTCTTATGTAGAGTAACGACGATATGTTTTCACATGTGCGCACTTACATACGCGCAGTCTCACTTTTTTTTACCATTAATGGTTAGCTACTTATATTGTTCCATTTATTAACATTAAATAACATTACTTCAAACAACCATATTAATTTTTTTACATTAATTTTACTACAGCTACAATCAGGGTCTTATTTTCTTCAGTTTTATATGTAGAACCAATCAGTCACTGGTTTTGTAAGCTTTAACATAAACAATGCCGGCAGCCGTCTCGTCTCTCTAATATTCACGTATTATTAATAAATTGTATTGTTAATTTTGCACACACAAACATTAATTCAATAAAAACAAATTCAGAAACATTAATTAAAATATATATGAACAGTAAATTAGTGTTGCGTTCATATTCTTATGTAGAGTAATGACGATATGTTTTCACATGTGCACACTTACATACGCGATCTCTCTTTTTTCTTTACCTTTATTGTTAGCTACTTCTATTGTTCCATTTATTAACATTAAATAACATTACTTAAAACAACCATATTAATTTTACTACAGCTACAACCAAGGTCTTATTTTCTTCAGTTTTATATGTAGAACCAGTCAGTCACTGGTTTTGTAATCAACGAAAACAATGCTGTGTCATTTCCTCGTGTGTTTTAATATTCTACGTATTATTAATGAATTGTAATGCTCATTTTGCACACAAACATTAATTCAATAAAAAGACATTCAGTAATAAATAATAATGAATCTTTTGTACATAAGAGAAATGACGCTGTTTACACGATTATGCACGTCGTCTGCACGTTGGCGGGCCGTTCAAACCCGTCGAAATTCAAGTTTCCGCCGTCAAAATTTTTATTTATTTTTTTTTGTGTGTGTTCCAATAAAATACGTTGAATTAAAAACTCGCGAAATTTGAGAAGCTACTATACGACATTTAACCCTTCAATATGTCTTCAAAGAGACCATGATGCAGAGAAAGTGGTGCTAGTGCTTCCAAGCATAAGCACAAGTCACTATCTATCCAGGAAAAGGGTGAATTTCCATGGTCCGGCACCGGTCAGGTCCCGAGGGTGCCGGACTAGAGAGGTACAACCTGTAGTACGTAATTAAAGAGACCAAAAATTCGTTTAACGTCCCGGTGATTCGATATTACGTCATTTTGCGTCGTCACAGACTACATTTTATGGCGCATCATCTCGCTCATGCTTATATTTCAATTTAATGAAGTCTCTAGTACTCATCATTCTCCTCCCGCTTATATCAGCTTCCATCAGTTTGACGACCTACCACACACCACTTCACCACCATCGTGAGTACCAATACAAACTATACTGTATAATGTGTGTGTGTGTGTGTGTGTGTGTATATATATATATATATATATATATATATATATATATATATATATATATATATATATATATATATATATATATATATATATATATATATATATATATATATATTAATAAAAAAATGGCGGGGTGTGCTAGTCAGACGTTCTGGAACGTAACTCGGGGTCTAAGGGTTAAAGACATATAATTTCACTAAGTATAGTAAGATCCCAGCATAGCAGATTTTGCCAAGATGATTAAAAAAATTAATGTGATAAGTGAAAAAAGCCTAAATGAAGAAAAGACTCAAAATGAAACGGCCATATTACTTACCCTGCACCCAGAGCAGTTGCAATATTTTCAAGAAAATATCTCTCATTTCCTTTGTAGGTAGAGATGGTAACATTACAATCTGCTAAAATATTCAAATCTTCTGGAAGATGTATTGGCATGTGAAAATAATCCACCGGTATTAATTTCTGTGGAAAAGAGAACAGCAGTCACATGATATTTCAGGTGAATAATTGAAAACTTATACTGTACAACATGCACTGTATTGCCACAAAAGCTCATTACTTCACAGTACAGCTGATATATATATATACGGGTATATACTACCTTCTGTTCAATACAGTCCTCAATGAAAAAAATTGATATTATCTCTTTTGCTTTATAATGGACACTTCCAGTTCCATCAATGTTTAGCAGGGAGTAATGCACTCTACCACGATGACTTAGACACACAACTACTCCGCCATGATCTTGGAGTGTTAAGGCTATGTCCTCTGCTGTTTCCTCATCAAAACCAGACACAGTGAACACCTTTCCTAGGGTGATAAAAAATAATGATGGAATCATCCTGAAATCTCATTTTATAAAAAAAACACATTATAGATGACCCCCGTTATACACCAACTTAGTCTAACAGGTTAAAGTCCAGAACCAATCCCATCAACGTCTACATCATCACCACCACCTTCAGTTCCATCCCAATAAAAGCATCTGTTGCTCCTACAAATGCTTATCTCGACATGCACAACAGCCCCAAGTTTAAATGTAGTGTTTAACTTTAAGTTTTACTTTCCTTTACTGTATTTTGTCATTCAATTTCTTTTTTACTCTTAAATTAAGGCATTCTAAATGTATAAAAGAACTTAGGCAATGATATAACGCACATAGGGTATGTGTTCCGACTTAAGAATGTCCTCAGGAACGGAACTCGTTTGTAACCCGGAGACGGATGGACGGACGGGCGTGCGTGCGTGCGTGTGTGCGTGTGTGTGTGTGTGTGTGTGTGTGTGTGTGTGTGTGTGTGTGTGTGTGTGAAGAGCAGCTCGGAGCCAAGATGACATCTACTGATAAATATCATTAGAGATCACCTTGGCTCCGAGCAACATTAATTATAATTAATGTTGCCTAGGGTGCAGGAATGGTGAAAGAAATCTAAAGAATTTGATAATTTTAATTTCAATGGGAAGAAAATGCTCAAGTTTAAATGGGACTACTGCTGCACATGCATAACTATTGGTTGCACTCACTTGATGGTCCGAAGTCACGGCAAGAAAAAGGGAACTCATAATACAGTACTGAACTTTCCATATCTTAGCAACACATGACATGACCAGATGCATGTTTTGTGTGTCTTGTTTTTAAGCTAAAATATGTTTATACAAGACTGTACCAAGTTTCACACACTTGAAAAGGTAAGGAGTGTTTGACTGGTTCCTTGTTGTGATATGTTGTTAATACCTTGAAGATGGTTACAACCAAATACTGTTTTCCCACTTACCAGAGAAGATGCCAGGCAGAACAGATGCTTGAGAACTTTGGACAGACGATATATTCGCTGTATCACTCATACTAACATTTCCTGCATCATTAGTTTTTGACGTCTTTAAATACTGATGAAGTATTTCTTCATCCACATAAGTTTCATTATCAATGTTTGGCAGAGAATCTGAGGAGTGTCTTGTAATCTTAACCGCTATATGTGGAGAAGCACAGCTTTCACCATCAACCAAGTAAGCAAATGGAGCTTCATCAGCTGGTCGCTTAAGCTTGATACTCTCTATAATCCAATCAGCATAAATGACATGTGGTTTGGATGCCCATGTCTGGATAATATTCAAAACCTCTTCACAAGTTTTCCCTGTTGACAAGACAGGAGGTATGTATTTCATAACAAATAAATTTTCTTTCTACAAGAGATATAAATTTCAAGCCTGAAAGTTTATGAATGGGAAAGGTAATATGCCACAAAAAGCAACAAACTGATGTCAAGGTATGAGTGATCCAAAAATGATTAATCTGATTTGACTGAAATGATGATAAGATTATTATTATTAAAAAAAAAAAAGTTTGTCAGTCAGTCAGTCAATCTGCTTATGCAAAAGATTTAAAGATCACATGACAACGAATACAAAACTAATTGACACTGGAAAACAAAAAAATATATAAATTTCACATTGAAATACAAATTCACATCATAAGTAAAACACAAACCATGACCACATACTCCTGCATGCTAAGGACTCAAGAGACAGTTCCTTATGTTTGCTTTCACTCTTTCAGGAATCAGGAAGAAACAGATTCTCTCCCCAATTATTGCCATCCCTCATTCTTACTGCTGTAACAGATGTGTACAGGTAATCACATTTCCCTTCCACTATAAAGCTTAAATCAGTTTTGTTTACTCCTGTTGTTCTACACACCCCAACAGCATATTTATCCCTAAAAACAACTCCAGTAGCCAGCTACAAAACTTTAACAGGTTACTCTTGGGTCAGAAGGCGAGGGTTACACCCAATAGGATACCATCCTCATAAATAGTTTAATGAAAATGTATTTCTCTTACCAAATGATGAGAATGAGACATACAGAATATCAATAAAAAGGATACCTTATAGAATATGTTTGTAGCGAGGTAAGCAAAAACAGATGCTGACAAAGAATGAAGGTAAATTCCAAAGACAAAATGTTACTGTAAAGAAGGAACTTAAAGAAGTGTTACAAAATAAAGTACCATACATATTACACTATCTGGAAGATGTTCTTCAAACCATCCTGCTGTACAGAAAGTACAGGTATGTGATTACATACCTATAACAATATGAGATACAGACTCAGTCAGATGATTAAAGCGAGTGGCTCCTCCAGTATTGAGAACTCGACGTAGTTTTTCCATATGTGATGTGCCAAACCCAGACAAGAAAATCTTACATCCATCCAAGAAGAGACCGGCTTTCAATGCTTGTTGCAAATCTAGACTTTCTACTGCCTCCAGTCCACGGCTCCCTAAAAAACAAATTAATTGATGCATTATATATGCAACACTCAATCCTTTATTTGGACTAAGTCATATTAAGACTAAAGTTTAAATACTTTGTTTTAACATTCCCAAACATATTCATATACTAACTCAAATTTGCTAATTTAATAAAAAAACACTACTGTACACACTTTGATCAGTGACAATCAATCAAGGCATCCATCTCAAGATACACAAAGTTTAACACAAAAGCCTTATAAAAACATACAGAAAATTAAACTACCTTTATTATCGGGAATGAACGCCTTCATCTGAACCAATGTCTCATTCATCTGTACTGTCTCATTGACCTGCATTGTTTTTGACAGACAGGTCTCATTCATGATGGTACTACACATGGAGATATCTGGAGGCACTGTGAATAGAATGGAGTAAATCACTTAATAAAGGTTAAATTTAAATCCACAACTACTCATTAAAAACTCCAAATTCCAAGCAAGAATACACTACAGGCATCCCATGATTTTCAAAGGCTCAATTTATGAAAATTTAGTTCCAAATTACAAAAAATTAAGGAAAGAATTCCAATTTTCTCAGCAAAATTTTGTAGTTATGACATTTTTATCAAATGATAATGTAAAATTGTAGACAAACTTCCCTGGACACTTGGCAGCATCTGGCAAGTGAGGGGGATTGGAATTTTAACATATATTCTTCTTTTGTTCTCAGTATTAAGTAGCATTTTTTTTTCTTTTTGTGGTTACAGCATACAACATTATGCAAAGTGCCATGATTAAATATAAAACAGTCAGGAAGTCCTCATTATATGTCGGGATGTGTTCTTGAGAAAAGCACCTTATAGTGAAATGTTTTATAATGATGACTTTTCCCCATAAGAATTAATGTCATTAGGGGTACTGTATATGTGTTGCAACATGTATAGTAATACCCCTTGAAAGCTTAGCAAATCAGCTGACAATGGGGTTATCACATACCGGTAAAGTACGGTATAATATGGATATAATTAAATATAATTTGTATTGGGGAAGACGGGAATTTATAGACCAGAGTTTTCTCACCTAGAAGACTCTTGGTACGGTATACTATTCACTTATCTATACAGTACAACCTCTCACTATCCTCAAAGACATATTTACTATCAGCTTAGCTATATAAATCTAAACATTACTGTAATCACAAATGTAACCGATAGTTCTCATAAGACTTACTACTTGTGGTGGCATCATGAGTTGGAGTAGAGGCTCCACGCTTTATAACTGTATAACCCACCATGTCAAGAGCAGAGCCTTGTTCCACAGAGTCATATATCCAATCAGGTGTAAGACACTGGATACGCCAGTTACGAGCATGAGAGTATTTATCTCCCTCTGGTGTGGGTATGATGAGTACTGAGGTAACAGACATTTCCAGAAGAGGAGAGTATGTGCCACCTGATAATGGAAAAAAATATTATTAATAAAAATCTGGTTAGTATACAAGACTAACCCGCGGACGAGTTATTTTTATTACGTTTTATTTTCTTGTATTATTTTCATCAGTGAGTTCTGATATGATAATCATATCTAGTGGAAATTTTTTTGTTTCATAGATAATTAGATGCCTAAGTGCGCACTAATTTGTCTTCCCAGCGGTAATGAGGCCACGCTCTGCTGCTGCACTTTTCCCCGGGCTCGCGGCAGTTTCATTTTCAGCATTACGTGTGAGGGTTGTCGCCGGTTTTATACAGTGGTCCCTCAGTTAACGAACACAATTCGTTCTAGAAGGTTGCTCGTTAACCGAAACCATTGTTTCAATGGGTTTTGGGTAATTGGTTCCAGCTCACCGAAAATTGCCTAAAATCAACAAAAAAAGGTAGTAAAGTACACTTACTTTGAGGTGTGTATGTAGAAGGCTCCTGGATGATGATGATGATGGGAATTAGAATGGGGGTGGAGGAGAAGGGAGAAGAGAAGGCATTGGGGTGGAAGAGAAGTCACCCCATGGTGCCATTTCAACCTTAAAATATTAGTTCTCTTGGTGTAATTCAAGATTATTTTCTTTAAATCAACACTGCATTGCATTGTCAATATGTAAAATAAATTTCAAATTGATCAATAATTTGCTTGGAAACACAGAAAAAAAGCATTTAGTTGAAGAGTCTCAAGCAAGATGTTACCTCCACTGAAAAGACACAGAGACTGACACCTGTATGGTGTGTTGACAGGCTGTATGGCGCACAAAATACTAGCTTCCTATACACGTACTTCAATTATGTTCAATAATTCTTAAAATGACGAAAAAATTTAATATAAAACTTTTAAAATTATTGAATAGTATAAACTTCTTGATATTTACTAAAATAGTAAGGAATTTAAGCCCTAGAACCGATTACTGTATTGGCGGACTAATACTACAGCTGGTGGACCACCAAATGCAAGTGAAAACATGTTGAGGTCGGTTCGTAAAAAACTCACTAATCGAGGGATTGCTCGTTAACCGAAGTTAAGAATCTTATGGAAGGTAACTCATTAACCGAGGCGCTTGTTAACCGAGGGATCACTGTATGGACTTAATTTTCGAATTTAGGGATAAAGACGAGACCCTTCAATTGTTCAAAGAACACAGCATTGTTCCTATAAATAGAGACTGTCCACGCTTCAGAAATTCCTGTCCTTTCAGACCAGATTTTTTTTTCATCACTTAACGCAATGGCTCAACGCTTCCCGCCATCACAAAAAATCACTTTGCTGCCTAGGCTGTGTAAGCGCCGATGCGCCCGCATCATCTCACCTCCAGAAAATGCCTCAAATTTCACCATATCATAGAAAGTACTTTCTGTTTAATATACCAGGGGTTCAGGGGGCAAAGCTCTCCGGTAAGGAAGTTAGGTAAGGTTAGGTAGGTTTGTTTGGTTAGGTCAGTTTTTCATATCCACAAATGCTAAACTATGTTTATTTTAAAAACAACCAATTCGTAACACATTTGCACAAACTAAAACAAGTGTCCACTGTAAAAAAAAAACAGTGACAATCCGGTGTTTATAATCATTTTTTATCAATTTCAGCCGCGGGTTAGTCCTGATTAATTACCAAAAATCTAAATGAACTTATCTGAGAATGGCAAAGTATTAATACAGTATAGTAATGTAGAGAATGCTTAAAGATAAAGTAAGTAAGAAGATATAGTTATAAGCATGTTAGAAGTTCTGGTATGTAAACAGAATCAGAAGATTAAGTGTAAATGGTACAGTATTTATCACTTGAATGAGGTGTAGACTACAATAAAAATAACACTGAATACTAATACACAAATAAAAACATTTCAACTTCAATTATTGTAGAAAATTTTCAGATTTACATATTTACAATTTGTTTATCGGGTAATTTAAAATTTTTGCTTATGTTCTTAGGTATAGATCAGCTGTCAAGTGGCATCAGTGAACACATAAGAATCATATATTGTAGGTGGGCTGAAGATCAACACAAAGGTCTTTGTGACTTAAGTGTGATAAGATGAGGAGAAAGAGGAGGAAATAAGAAATACTGTATACATAAGACAGAAAGAGAAGAAGATGGGGTAAACAACATAAGTTTTTGTTCACTACCTGCCCCCCCTCCCCCATTCCATCTCCAGGTGCTACGTGAAGTGACTTTTGAGCTAGAAAGCTGGAATTTAGGCACAATAATGACAAATGCTTTAGAAAGAAAATGTGTGCGTTTGATTTTTTCTCTTGGCTACTGTAAACCCCCACCTCCCTGGCCCCCTCCTTCATTCTGTCTCTAGATGTCATGCAAAGTGCAGGGTAGCATACATTGAAAGTACCACTACAAGCAATTGCAAAATCTTTTCTTTGGTAGCTTCTACCCATTAGCAATAATAATTTCCTATGCAATATAAACCTGGTAAATACTACAAATAAATACTAAAATTACTTGATGTCTTCCACCCATTAAACAGTACAAATCTTTACAATCAGCAAAACCTGTTATAAATTCTTCCTTCAGCAACTTCTAAGGATATATCATTGCAATGCTGTACTATACTACATATCATTGAAGTCCAGTATACCATTTCAATTTTATGATACCAGTATGGTCACTAACACAAGAAATGATTAATTCTAAAGAGTTAATATTCTAATACATTTCTTAATCTCCAGTACAAAAATTCAAAATGTCAGGAAATGGAAATAAACTGTACAGTACATGGAAAACTTCTTACCATTTTCTTCAATTATCTTTCTAATGGCCTCCTTCTGTTTGCGTTGCAGTTGTGAGACACTTATAACCAAGCCTTTAAATACTGGACAAACATAGGATAAGAACTGTTGGTCTGTGGCTGAAATGTCTTCTTGAAAATCCAAGTGGACAGCCTTCCATACTGCTTTTACCCATTCACCAGTCATGACAGGAATTTCTTTTTGTACTGCTACCTGAAATATGCAAATTACCAATCACAAATAATTCTGATGTGCCAACAGGCCCTCATGTGGAATCTTTCCATTATAAATTTTTCCCGTGTGAAGTACAGTAGTACCTTCAAAGGTAAAGTTTTTCTTCCTACCACTCTTCTCTCTTGCTCGCTCACATTAAAGCTTTCAGTACTGGCCCCAGTTAAAATGAATGGTCCTCACCAGCCCAAGGTAAACAAACACACTTCCAAATTAATCATACAAACTGAAAAAAATAAATAAAATAAATCTTCAACACACGCACAAACACTTGTCCTTGGCTACTTCTGCGTGAGACGAAACTCACCTTATAAACAATATGAAAATTTCCATACTACATACCATTTCAGAACACAGCTCAAAATATACTATCTTTCCTCACTCGATCATACATTTCCTTCAAGTGCATACAATCCTCTAAAACTTGTGTTTCTTGCAAACTTTAAAACGACATTCTCAAACTGAAGACTTGATTCATGTACTAACACTATCTACTCTGTACAGTACATCCACCCACTCAGTTTTACAATGACTGTACTTTACTTCTTATCCCTTCATCAATAGACATCTCTCTTCCCTCTAACTTGGTGAGCAAATTCCTTTCTACAACTATACAACATTATAAAAAATAACTCCAAAGTAACTCACACAATATTTTTTGCTTCCCACAGCGTTAGCTACTAGATGAGTCACACCTTCATGAAAAATGTTGGAGTAGATTCCTGCCATCCTTTCCACCAGCATCTGGAGTTCTGTTTTAGTTTCTTTTTCAAAACCAGTTGCAGTGATCACAAGATCCTTCATGGCAGTATTGTGTATGGGTGAAGGGAGCTCTGGAATAGACTCCTTGCGGTGTAGAGATGAGAGGATACATCGAGGTCCCAATACTCTGCTGAGCAAAGTAACATTTCAGCAGGTTAAAACAAGAACTTTCATAATTCACTACTATATGTTCATACAAACCTAACAGATAGCTACTAAGATCTTTAAATACTGTATATATCTATACACTACATACGGGTAACTGGAACTTTGGGTTAATTTAGGCACACAGTGTACAGGTGCACCTGTGCTTTCCCTAGGTAATACAGGTATATACTAACAGTCTCTGTATTCATACCAAAGAAATGTAACAATTTATTAACCAAAGACATTAACTGTTACAAGGGGCTGTACAAACAGTGCTTGGACCAGTCTTAACATCCATCCTAAGATGAAGAGACAGGTAATCCTGCCACACTGTCTCAATAGTTCCACCACTCCCTATCCCAGCTGGTCTCTTTAGGCATTATGCAGTTTCCTGATCCATCTTGGGTACATCTTATATCTAAATATTTATTCAAATTTATCATAATATAACTTAGGAATCTAATTAATATTGTGACCAGATATGTCTCCCAGGAATAAAACGCCTATTCACATCATTAGGTCTACGATAAACATGTTTCACTATACAGGGTACAGTTATGTTTCACTTAATGTTGCACTTTTCGAGAATGCATGCCCAACGTATAGTGATGTATATCAGTAATCAATAATTTAAACATACATACTTAGGTGTTTTTGCTTTATAAAATGCTAACCTGTATGTGAGCAACATCTGTCATATGTCATTATCACATACACTTGAGGGTAAGTAGACAATTTCTCATTAACCTCAGGCAGTGATAACCCTGTCTTGCCAATTAAAAGGGTGCTTGTAAGTCTTACTATGAAATGCCTAGTTCCTACTATAAAAGCAGGTTGGCCATATGAAGGGCATCCAGTCATAAAACTTGTCTTCAATTTACCTGATGGCAACCGAGATACCATGCATCAGGTAACCACGGCTAACCCAGGCAAGCAGGGAAACTGGCCTTAAATGGTGATAGCGATGATAATGCACTCTAAAAATTTTAATTTAGTATTTCAAGGTATTTTGCAGTTTTTTAATTTAAGACCAATTTCATCACAAAATAGAAGGGGATTTTGAAACCTTGATGAGTACAGTTGCACAAGAACAGTACTCTACTATACTTACACACACTTGAAGCCACTTGTAAGGTAATTGAAAGCCTCTCCTTCAAAAGGATCAATTATAAACACATCCTTCTTGATAGGAGTAATTTTGAGGCAATCATCTGTTGTTATCCATTCAGGGTTTAGATTATTCTCATGGCATTCCTGAAGAAACATTTTTATGTGTATTTAAAGTAAGGACAACAACCTGAACAAGTGAATACAGTACTGTAATAGCATGGGTTATAAAATTTTCAATGTGTAATGTCACCAAAGGGTGCGGCCACACTAATGGAAACAGCGTTGGGAAAAATATTACAGATAGTTTGGACAAAAGCTGTCAGCATTCTTGAGAGCATCGTCAGACACATGAAAGCATCAATGTTAGTATCATTGTAAGAAAAGTGTAGGGTTACATGTGTTAACATTGTTAAAAACAAAGGGAAGTAAACAAATAATCCACACCAGAAATATTCCGAACACTACTGTTGCTACCATTTGCGTCATTGTACTTATTCACAACGTGGTTATTAACACAGTCGCCAACACACGTTACCAACAATGTTTCCATTAGTGTGGCTGCACTGCACCCTTTTGTAACATTACACACTAATGCAAGTTTGGTAAATACAGTAATGATGTTTGATGTAAATAGGATAAATGACCTGCTGTTTGTTCTACTGGGTGAGCCAGAAGTTACAAATTTTAATGTACAGTGACCCCTCGTTTAACGAACACCTCGGTTAACGTAATTTCGATTAACGAACTGCCTTCCATAAGGATCTTCAATTCAATTAACGAAAAAAAATTCGGTTAACGAAGTTCTTACGAACCGACCTCAACATGTTTTCGCTTGCACTGACCGGGCAACCAGCTTTAGTATCAGTCCGCCAATACATTAATCGGTTCTAGGGCTTAAATTCCTTACTATTTTAGTAAATATCAAGAAGTTCATACTATTCAATAATTTTAAAAGTTTAATATTCAATTTTTTAGTCATTTTAACAATTATTGAACATAATTGAAGGTAAAGTGACTAGTTTAATGCACGGCATCCAGCCTCTTAACACAGCAAACAGGAGTTAGTCTCTCTCTGTTTCCACTGGAGGTAACATCTTGCTCGAGACTCTCTTCAACTAAACGCTTTTTTTCTGTGTTTCCAAGCAAATTATTGGTCATTTTGAAATATATTTTACATATTGACAATATATAATGCAGTGCAGTGTTGATTTAAAGAAAATAATCTTGAATTACACCAAGAGAGCTAAAATTTTATGGGTGAAATGGCGCCATGGGGTGACTTCTTCCACCCCAATGCCTTCTCTTCTTCCTTCTCCTCCACCCCCATTCTAAATCCCATCATCATCCAGGAGCCTTCTACATACACACCTCAAAGTAAGTGAACTTTTCTACCATTTTTGTTGAATTTAGGAAATTTTCGGTGAGCTGGAACCAATTACCCCAAAACCCATTGAAACATTGGTTTCGGTTAACGAACTTTTCGGTTAACGAACGACCTTCTGGAACGGATTGAGTTCGTTAACGGAGGGGTCACTGTATTTGGAAGTCTGTACAGTACTGGAAGAAAGTTGACAGTAAATGTGAACAAAATCAAAGTGACGAAAATAAAAAGAAAACCAGTAATCAGTAATTCTAACTTGAATGGAGATAAACTTTGCCAGTACAGACATACAACACAGTGGATGTCTTTGCTATGGATGAAATGGCAAAAGACAACCCAAACCATGGTGACACAAAGATTAAAATGATACATTGAGATTGCAAGGACACAGAATTTATATCAAGTAGGCACACATGAAGAAAAATAAATGACTATTTGAAAACTCTTTTTTTATTAGAAACTTGATAGACTAGGGCATGGTTGTAAAAATATCTACACTGCAAGATTACTAGTGTGCTCAAGGAATGTCCCTCTCAAGAAGGTGTGGAACTTTGGCTATTCACTCAACCTCAATAAAAAATTAAATTTTATAAATTGTTGTTTGTCTTTGTTTTGTTTTTACCTGAAAAGCACATATTAAACTTGAAGAACATGTTTCTTCAGTCAACCCAGATGGGAGAATAAAATAAAGGTTGACACCTACATCCCCTGAGCAGGATGCATTCTCCATGGCTGATTTTCTTCCATTCTGAAAAATGAGAATACAGTTTATCATCCAATGGTCAAAAGTACATTAACATAGAAAGAAAAGTACAGTACAGGTACTATAATCAGGCACAGGGATGAAGCAAAGCCTCTGGCTTCAAAGCCAAAGCCAGGCATTAAAGTCATAAAGCCGAAGCCAAGGCTTTTCAAGGCTTGATGAAAACTTAACACCATTATTTATAATTATAATACAAGTATATAGTGTATTACTTTATGTTGATGGGAATATGTATAGTATTCTAAGTTGCAGGAAGGCTTTGAGATAAGCTGACTATATTTTAAACTGATTGTTATTGGGGTAAGTTTTGACTCTCCCTATTGGCTGAAAATTTTTTAAGTACTTACAATTTCACAGACCGCGAGCTGTCTGTAGCTGTGAGGCATGTCACACTGCCTGCCTCCGCAGACAGAGACTACCGGTATATGCAAAAGACAGGAAACTAAACGAATCGCTGTGACCATTGGCTCTTAAAACTGCTGGATCGGCTCAATAGATGGCAGGTGGTCAGCACTGTGAGCCGTCTGCTTTATTTACAAATACTATCTTAACGCCGAAATTCAAATTCAAAACATCCACTGAAGACGATCCCAAATCTGGACATCAGAGTCGCTCAAATGTGGAGGTGAAGTTGATCGTCTTTTTGACTGGAAGGGCGTCGTTCATCATGAGTTTGTTCCACGCTTAAATAATTTTTATATTATCCAAAGCCTAATACCATGTTAAAATGTTTCACGTACAGTAACGAGTCGGCTCAACAAATGGCGCTCCTAGGCAGATCTAAAAGCTCCTTTTTCTTTTTTTATCGATATACTGTAGATGGTAGCTTTCCCATCATTCGCATACTGTATAGTCTTTGCTCCGCAGTTTTTTTTTTTTTTTATACGGGGATTAGCCCACCCAGTTACAGGTCATCGACCCACATCGGGGCCTGGGGGCGAAATAATAATAATAATAATAATAATAATAATAATAATAATAATAATAATAATAGTAATAATAATAATAATAATAATAATAATAATAATAATAATAATAATACAGTAATAATAATAATAATAATAATAAACCATAAAGAAATACAAATATTAAAAAAAGTTCATGAGTGAGAAACAATATATGTAAGTTATTATGTGTTGTCAAAGTAAGAGAAACAATTGAGACCCTGCAATTGTGTGTAAATGAGGCAGAAAGTCAGATCAGCAACCTGGGACTTGGTCACATATGGCAGCAGTCTACCATTAGACAACACATTAAGCTTCCAATATCTTCCCAGGTGTTAGTACCTCCCTGTTTAGGGACCCCGCAGGGGTAAGGTGAAGTTGGGGTAGGTTAGGTTAAGGTAGTAAAAGTTAGGGGACTAGATGTTTGGTTTCTGATGTATTTGGATGTATTTTGATCAAATCTTACCTTCGTTTTTGATGGAAAACAGCCGTCTTTGATCAAGGATGACATATCTTTTTTTTTAAACGACATATTTCCCATGGAAACAAAGCATCAGATCTGAACAAAACACATCAAAATACATCAAAAAATCAAACATCTCGTGAAAAAATCGAAGGTGTGCTGAAACGAATAATTACCCATAAAATTACATCATATATTAGCAAGTTCTTTCTGTTTATAAGCTGGGGGTCCGGAGGGCTGAGCCTCACGGCTAGGAAGTTAGGTAAAGTTAGGTAGGTTTCTTTAGTGTGGTTGGTGAGGTCTTCTAACAACACCTCTGCCGCTAGTTTTTCTCATCAACTAAGGTTAGGTTAATTTAGAAATAACCTCTTTTAACACATTTGCCATGACAACGAGTGTCCACTATAAAATACCGTAAAATTGTAGCGTTTTTATAATCGTTTTCTATAAAAAAAAAAGGCGGCGGGTTAGTCGTCGATAATTACCAATGGATTACTTGTGATGTCAATATGGATCTCCGTTCACGGTCCGACTAATTACCCAAATGTAGCCGCAATGAAGTCAAATAATGGTCCTACATGAATAAATCAGGCTGTCAATCACTTCTCGATTATTATTTGGTGTCATAAAGTTACAAAAAATTGGTAAACTTAATTTAATCTGAGTTGTGTTAGGTTAGGTTAGGTACATGCACTCGATCTATTAACTCAGATTAAATTAAGTAGAAATTCCCGTCTTCAGATCACTCTTGTGTACACAGGTCAACCTTGAATTATCTTCCAGTTTGAAAATACTACATTAAGATTCATAATGAAAACTCGCAGACGTTTCCATATTCTCATTCCCGTACTACATCATCAACCTCCCTCTAATACAGGCCATTAAATATACTCACCAGTGTTGATAAAAGGTAATTGATGTGGTCAGGTATAAAAGATAATTGATGTGGTCAGTTATAGGACGTCTTGGCGGGAACACTCTTCAAACACCTCTACCAACGTGAAATATACACTATGAATAATTAGAACATATCCTTAAATTAATCTTCAACAAGTTCGACTCAAATTTTACTGAACGGAAGTGTTAAATGATGCACGAAACACCTCTTTAGACCTGAGGTAGTTAGAGCTTGTTACCCCACGTTACTGCTCACCTCTACTTCTACTTTATAGGGACCAATAATGCAAAAATTTACTAGATAAATTTCACCAATTACCAGCGGTTGGTCTTTCTTATATTGTTTAATTAGCATTTTTCTTTGGTAATTATCCCTCTACCTATGTATACTTTTACTTATTTTTTACTTTATTCCTCTAAACCACTGATCAGCTCGTCTCTATCACGTACTGTTATTTCATTGATTGTTTTTAGTTATATCAGTAGAATATTACTTAAAATTATATAAAAAATTATCTAACCTGTGTTGGTATTTTTATTTTATGAATAATGTAATAGAGTGTTAAGCTTATTGTGTTGTTAATGAAGCTTGAGAGCAGCTGTGTACACCATCCCCCCCCCCACCCACAGCATGGTCGGCAGTTTTATCTATTATTAAGCTGTTCAAAGGTAGATATAGTGTATGTTTATTTAATTATAGGTTGCCATAGAAATTCATATTTGTTCAGGATACATGAAGGATAGTATAATGATAAATAGTATTGTTAAAAAGGCGGTAAAGGTGTAATCTAGTGTTGCCACATTAATGTATCTGAACCTGCTCCAGTGCTGGTCAAGTCTGAGCATAAGCTAAAATAGCGCAAAAGAAAAGCAAATCATGACAAATAAGTCCATCTCTTTTAGCAGTGGGATGAATATGAAGCAAAAATATTACCACTTTTAATTTAGAAAAAAAAATTGTCATTGTCTTCTGCCAAGCTTGCATGAATACATTTGAGTCTCACATATTTTAGTTTGATGGTTGCAGGTGTATTAACAATGTTTTGTTCTTTATTTTCGTCTTTAATAAATTGTCTTTGTGTTCTTTACTATTTTCTATCCCAAGCAACAGTTATTTTCGTGTATATATTGATGGTAATGAACACGGTGACGAAACGGGTAAAGCAGTGGTTACGAAATGGGTTGGAGATGATATGGGCAGACCCCCTTTTTATTCCCCCAAGCCTCTATTTCATGGAGAGCATCTCAGGGTCTGGGAGTGCAAACGGCAATAGGGTTGAAAAATTTTTCTTTGGAAGGGTGCGTCAAAGTTTAAAGTCGAAGGGAGAGAATAATCTTCAGTTTCAGTAACACACCCGGCTATGTCTCGCATGTGGAGCAGGCCAATGACGCTCTGTGCTCCGTACTATATGGCCGCTCGGCAGCCAATCACAACGCAACACACATTCTATCAGCGCCTGGCATGCTTAGTACCTTGTAAACACGTGTCTCTGCCAGTACACTTCCCTCCCCCCCCCTCCCCCCCCCAAAAAAAACATCGTTTTATGCTGCTGATCCATCACAAAATTAAAGTGATGCACACAAAAATTCAATGCAATATCCTTAATGGTGGGAAAGTTATATCACTCATTTGAGGGTTATGTAGTGTGGTTTGATTTATGCAAGTGGAGAAAAATGCAGTTACAGTAAGTCTTCGCTTAACGTAGGGGTTACGTTAAAAAAAATGCAACGTTATACGAAACAGCGTTAAGTAGATCAATTTTCCCCATAAGAAATAGATAAAATACGGGAGTTATGTTCCTGAGTCTCCCTTTGACCCATGAAATACATTACATATACCACAGAAAATCATTGCCATTTCTATAGAAAATAATGCATACATATACAACTACAGTGTACTAAGTTTGTATTGGTACTCACCGATGGTCGGAGGTGGTAGAGTGAGTGTAAAGTGGGTAGTGGAGCGGTGGAGGCGGATGGCGGGAGCGGAGGAGTGTAGTGAGTCACTGAGACTGCGCCAAGCCGAAAGAGCATAGTGCGGGCAGATGAGAGAGGGTGATGCACCGTAAAATGTAGTCTGTGACGACGCAAAACGATGTAGTATCAGATCATCGGGACGTTAAACGAATATTTGGTCTCAAAGTTTAAGCTACACAACAACAAAATAATCACTTAGATATCTTTAATGGTTCAAAAGATGTAGTATTTTTGAAAGTTTAAAAACTTTAACTGCATTTTGATGTTTGGCTCACTGTGTTACTGATAGCCTCAAATAACTTATGGAATTGTACCAAATTTTCAGATGTTGTTTGGATGGTAGTACAGTAATTAAGAAAATCTTTACAAGAATGCACAGAACCAATTAGAACCGTACGTAACCTTGTCTAACCTACCTAATTTCCTAAAATGTCCATTGTCGTTTTAATTTTCTTACTGCCATCCAAACAACATCCAGAAAAAATTAATGAATTTTGTCCAATATAAATCGTAATAAAGATGCATGAGGACTGTGGACACTCACATATAGCAGACTATGTGAACTAAATCATGTTTGCCATGGGAGATCCAACAGCACCATATTTACAAAGCACGTAGAGACTTGACATTGCTGTTATATGATCAGAGTTTGCAGTGTTTTACTCCATTATTTCCATCTTCTTTCATGTCTTGCCCACTACCAAGTTATTTATGATTGAAGGATTGGATAAAAAGAAAAAATAGTACAGTGAACTTGTTTCAATTTTGTTACTGAGTATCATCCAATGAACTGTGAAAAAAATGTGAATGAGATATATTTAAACGCGTTCAGGTGCTCACGATGTGTTCCACCTTTACCGTTTGTTTGCCCTGAGGACAATTATTTCTTTTACCTGTATTGTATAATAATAATAATAATAATAATAATTAACGGTTTATTGAAAGAGCTTGGCAGCCAGAAGGCTGAAAATATACAGTTACATATTTGGGGAATGGGTTTCGAATTATAAATAATATACATGTGTGTGTGTGTGTGTGTGTGTGTGTGTAGACACACACAAAACACATACAAATAAATAATAATGGGAAAATCCTCTCACAAATAATCGGAAACAAATTTATTAAAAATTTGAGGCTACCCTCAAGTCCGTGCTTTATTACTTTATTAATGAAGTAATAAAGCTCGGACTTGAGGGTTGTTATAGAATAGTTATGGTACTATGGAGAAGAAATATAACTTGATATAGATGTGGAGACAATTGATGAAAGTTTGTACTAATTGTCAACTTGTGTATTATTTACAGGCTAGTAAGAAAATGGAGAGTAAGGTAAAGAAACCGATCAAGAAGACCGGTGTTAAAAAGAATTTGAAAGTCAAGTTGACCCCTACTACACCAAGTAAAGGAAAGAAAATTAAATCGGTGATGGCATTTAATGTTGATAACTTAAAGGGACAGTTAAATGGAACAGTGCCTTGTATACGTAAAAAAAAAGGTGTGAAAAAAAACGTGAAGAAAAAGGTGATGGGAAAGAAACGAAAGCAAGTTTCAGAACATCTTGAAAAACCACTATCAAAGAAGCAAAGGAGGTTGAGGAATATATATCCTGAAAGATGTGATCCCAACGAAGAAAATATTGATATAGAACTCAGTAAGTGAAGAATTTTTTATATTTTACTCCCACACACAGAGTGCATGACCATTTGTTTCTGTATGTGATTTAACCCTTAACCCTTAGGCCCTGGGTGACGCTCCAGAACGCGCACCTATTCCCGCCAGTATTTAAATGCCCAGCGCGGGTTATCAGGTTCCATTGTGGTTTCATTGTTTGTCCATTTTATCGTGTTGTATCAAAGTAATATTGCTAAAAGTAGTGTACAGTAGTATTACTGTAAAATAATGCTATGATTACGTTATAAATGTTTTTATTTGTAGAATTATTATTATTTTATGCATTAATTGCTCTACCAACCACAAAGACAGCCAGGCAGACTGGCGACCGATTGGTGATTGTTGCCAAGCACTTTTTATGAAAAATAATGCAAATAAAATATTTTAAATGAATTATTTATAGCAAGTAAGTATTAAGATCAGTAAATACATACATTAGTGGCCACTTCAGACACAAAGGCGAGCTAAAAGTAGCTGCTAAGTGCAGAGGGACCACGAGCGTCAGCTGTCAACCCAACACTGTCTCCTTATCTCCCTCTCTCCTCCCTTCCTCTGCGCGGTCACGAAAGTTTCTCGAGGGTCAATATATAGTTTTTCTTACTTATTTTTTATTGTTTCATCATTTTAAAAGGTAAAAAATTATTTTTGGAAAATTAGATTTTTTCTTGATTTACCCTTACCAGCCCCCTTTCCACACACACACACACGGGGATAAATTGAGAATATTTTTGTTTCCAAAAATAATAATAATAATAAAAAAAAATGGCAGGAATAGGCGGACGTTCTGGAATATCAGCCGGGGTGCTTTGGTCGGACGTTCTGGAACGTCACCTGGGACCTAAGGGTTAACAAAACATCTTGCAATTATGAAAAAAAAAGTGAGCTTTCCTCATGTGTTGCATATTGTCCAAGGAAGAATGGATGGTGCTGCAGTGTTTTTGTTTATTTTTTTTATTCATGAAATATCTATTGTTATCTGTAAACATATGATACTTTTTTAACTTCATTTTTTTAGTTGTACAGTACACAGCTTTTGTGTCAGAAAGTAGATAACAGATCCTGACTGATATTCATTTCCTATTTCAAGGAGTGAAGTACTACAGTAATTTAAATAGCAAAGTCTGATATATTATGAAGATAGAATTGCAAATAAGTATTGTACAGTACAGTAAAGTAATTAGACTATTTCCTCTGTATTCATTGAGTGATATACAGTATCAGGTTCTTCTGCAGCACCCACATCAAGCATCTGGCTGATCCAAGCTTGTTAATGATTTCCAAACCAAAGCTCAGCCATGTCAACAGTTAATTAAGTAAAATCCCATATTTATCCCAATAAACTGGTTTGGTGATTTTATTGTGCTCATTCATGTTTTACAGTGTTTGGTGAGGATATTGGTGCTCTTCTTGTCCAAGACAGCCGGGAAGAAGGACGAAAGAAATTTCAGTGGATAATCAGCCCACACACTGAAGAGAATTTCTTTAGGTATTTATACAGTACAGTATACAGAGAAGCTTGTTCATGCATTATACACTTTGCTCTAGTGCAGGTTGTGCCCTCTGCCCAGTTACTAGTTAGTGCTTCATGCTGCCACTATGGGCTGTATTTTTTATATCGAAGCCAGACCTCCATCCATTGTACTCGGCTACCCAGTCCCGAGACAAGACATCTCTCTTGAAGATGTTCCTTGCATACTTTCGAGCTAATTGTCTGTATCATATGGAAGTAATTAGAGAGGATTACTACAGCCTGTGGTGTTATATTTCTGGTAATACTGGAACCCAGTCTTCTGTATATCTTCATTGTGGCTTTTTTATGTTTTGCTATCCAAATGTGAGTAATGAATGGGTTGGTATAAGTTCCTACAGTATTTAGCCTTCTGTCCTCACTTTTTGACACAGTAACTCAGCCTATCTTAGGATAATTTTATTGCAGATGTGAGGTTTGACCTTTGGCTTCTGACAGGTATTCTGGTTCCCTCGGTGGTGAGTAATCTTGGGTGAAATTTTAGGAAAGGTCCATCTTGAAGGTTATCCCACCCGAGGGTAGGTTGGATTGGCAATTATTTTTATCTTTCCATATAATTTTGTGCTCATTAATTAAACAACCGAGGACATATTGGGACTCATCAGGGGATCTGACAGTTAGCCACACTGAACTGGGTTGTTCACTTGGGGTAGTTAAGTTGCTGATGATCTGGTTTCCACTTACTCTTTTAACACCCCATCATACAGTGTATTTTTTCCCCCGTGTGCTCGCTTCAAGCTTGGGATTATTTCTTGTTCTTGTAATTGCTCTTTGTGCTCCAACAAATTGACAGTCCATGACTAGATAATCATGTTACTAATGTCATCACAGAATATGGTAAACAAAGCATATAATTTTCTGGCCTGTGTGCAGAGTGCAGTTAGGTTTGATATGGTAATCTAATTTCCCTTTGTCATGGGAAGAAGGTTGAAAGGGTTTTGCCACACTTTAATTTCTAATCTAGTGCTGCTCAAAGGTGACTGTAGAATCAGCAAGTCTGCGGTCTGACTTTCCTTCACCTTTCTTTGTGAATATTGAAATGGGGTTAAAATATCAATTGTGGATAAGTACAATTCAATACTTTGAAAAAGCACAGTATTTAGAAATCCAAACCAGGAAAGCCCAATCACCGCCTCAGTTTCCTGAAAACATAATTCCAACCTCCAATGTCTAGGACTCTAGGGTGTCCTGAGGACCTAACCTACAGGCTTAGTGACTGCATTACATGAGTTGCTTGGCAGAGGCACTAGGTTATCAATATACGTAGGTGTTAAAACAATGGATGAGGTGAGAAATGTGGATGGTGGAGATTTATTTGGTATGGAGAAAACAAATAATAATGGACATTTTGAGAAGCACTGAGAAGGCTGTAGTGTATAGAGAGAATAGATATTGAATATATGGACATTTTATTTACTTTTTGATGGAGCCTCCAATACAGTACAGAGTTTAAATAGTATCTTTCATAATAATAAATAAAGCTTTCTTTTCTTCCTTTTAGCAATTACTGGGAGAAAAAGCCATTGCACATAAAACGCAGTGACTCATTATACTATGACAACATATTCACCACAAAAGATTTTGACAAGATACTCCACGAGGTTAGTACATAAATTATTCTTCATTTATTAACTGAATTTCAATATATAAATGAAAAATAAAATAAAAAATACAGTATGAAATTCTAAAACAATTGATTGCAATTTAAAAAATGTCCACAGAATTTGGCATCAGTTGCCAACAGAGCTACAAATACCCTATGGTATTTGAACATGAATTTTAAGCTATAAATTAAAAACACTTTGTATAGATAAAAATTATAAAAGTTCTGTGAAGAAATTTCAGTTGTTTTCATTTGATATTTATGCTATTGTTAGTAACTAATCAAATGTAATACCCTGTACAATATGAAAAGAATAACTTTAATCTCAAAGGTTCTTTAGACCTACAAATTCTTTTGTTATTTGGTGGAATAATATTTTACAACTTGAGAAGAGAAATGGGAACATCTTTTTGACATGCATGCACACAAAATACACATCAAAGGCTATACTATGATTCAAGAGAGACTGGTTCCTTCCACGTGAAGGGAGTCACCATAAAGTTAGTTCATAGACTGCGCTAATTGATCACATGGATTTACTGTGCAAATAAAAGCAGCATTATGTGAAATACTTGTGGAAATCTATGTTAAACTGATTAATTTGGGTTTACACCTCTGCAGTGCATCTTTAGAATTAATAATGAATGTGCTTTGGCTAGTCTATCAGGTGGGATATGAGGGAAAATATTGTAAGATTAGGAGGAAGTTGTGGATGAGGGAAGATGCTACAGGAACAAGAAGAGGCTGGAGATGAGGGATAGTGTTGGGATAAGGTGTATATTTGATAACTCAAACATACTTTTGCTTACAAGTAAATCATGAATTTGATGAGCAAGATATATAGTAATCTATTTTAAACATGTCTTGAGTTTTAGATGTTGATCCTGAATACTTATTAGACATTTTACTCTGAAAACCACTAAAACATTGAGGAATACTGCCACACAGACCCAACTAATAATTCTGAGACTTTCACCAGATAACTGTTTTCTGAGGTTCAGGTTTACTTATTTACAATTTCCCATCACCTATCCTGATCATCATATCTGTACAAGATTGTGTTGATATACCTTTGTATCTCTCTCTCACACACACACACACTATCTCACTTTCTCTCATATTTTTCAAGCTTACTTTATCTAATCCTATTTTCTTTGTCCTGAAACATTCTTTTTTTTTCATTCTAAATCCTTTCTTTCACTTTTATATGAGCTCAGTTTTTCATGTTATACTCCAGTTTGTTGGTTCTCCTGTTAGCACCATTTTACTCCTACAATAATTTTATGTTTTCTTATTCTATTTATTTTTATAGACCCATCCATTATGAATCATAACTATAAAAATGTAAATACTGTACATACACTCCTTCTCTCTCCTTCCCATAAAATTACCTACACATGCAAGTGCACATTTTTTGGTTTCCATTACTTTCAAAACTCTGCTTGTTTGCATGTTATTCAGATATCTTTCTGAAAATGATTAGCACTATAAAAATTATATTATAATTATTGTGATTGTAGTGGAATATATGAAAGATTGTATTTTACGTAATAGTTATTTGGTATTCTTATATAAATTAATGGAGTCTGTAATGTGTCGAAAGGCATATCTTTTTAACCTATAAACAGTGGCCATCATCAGTGAAGGTTTCATGTTCCATGCATTACATTTTTCCACTTATGAAGAAGTAATGTGGAAGCCTTAGCCACAGGTTAATGTTTAAATCAAGTGTGACTTTTGGTGTACAGTACAGCTCCTCCCCGACTTACGACCTTCTCGACTTATGACCACCCACACTTACGACCTGCCTCAGTCGTACCAAAATTTTGTCAAATTACGTATTTTTGAGTCCCAACGTCAGTACACAGAGAACATTTTCGTTTGTAATTCACTTTAAAATGGCTGGCAAGCTTAAAAGTGAGAGTTTTGTGGTGCTGAGAAGAAAAAGAGACCCCCCCCCCCATTTTAGATTTTCTATGTATTATTTAAGCATTTTCGACTTACGACCATTTCGACTTACGACCTGGATTTGGGTCCCTAACCCCACCGTAAGTCGGGGAGGAGCTGTACTTAAAAAAACAACAGCAGCAAAAATTAATGTTCCTCTTGCAGAGTAGGGTGTTGTATGGTAAGAACTTGGACATCACGTCATACACTGATGGAAAGAGGGAGACCCATAATCCCATTGGGCAAGCTCATGCACCAGTAGTTTGGGACTACTTCAGTAATGGATGTAGTGTGCGAATGTTGAACCCTCAGACTTTCCATCGTCCAGTATGGCAGCTGCTTTCTTCGCTGCAAGAATATTTCAACTCTTTTTGTGGAGCCAATATGTAAGTTGTGATTATTTGTGTCTGTTGATCAAGCAGTCTCCTGTTTTTTTTTTTTTATCACAGCAGACTGAATACAGTAAAGTCTCTGATAACGACGGTTCTACTAACGACGATTCATATTTAAGCCCCTGGTTAATTTAGGAACCCAATTCAATTCAAGTCATTATTTTCTTCGTATACTGTATATGACGAAATTAGAAAAAAATATTAATTTTCATAAAAATAATAACTAAATCCCAATATGTATTACTGTATAAAAAAAAAAAACTTGCATTGCACATGGAGGCTGTCGGGCTTGTTAGTGGTGACGCCAGCATTACTAGTATAAACAATCGCAGCTGGCGGGCCTTTTCTTTTCACGCATCTGAACAGGAAAAGGATAAAAACTTTCTCAGGTTTCTTACAGCATTTTTGCATCCCTAATCAACATGAGCAAGAGATCAAGTGATGGTAGTGCTGGTTCAAAAGCTAATAGAAAGTGTATAAGCTTAGCTGAGAAAATAGATGTGTTAAAACGATATGAAATAGATGAGAGGTCTGTGGATATTTTATGGAGCAAACAATGAACATATTTTTTGAAGTGGATCCATTAAGAGAACGAAGCATTAAAATTAACAGGGTCATGAAAAACATAAATTATTTCTACAGAAAGATGTATAATGAGAAAAGAAAGCCGCTGTGCAAGGTTCTTTCGACAGTTTTATTATTCGAAGGCTTAAACCATCAACTTCAGCTACACCATCAAATTTAGCATCATAAGCAGCTTCAACAACAACTTCAGGTTCAGAAACATTTTCAGCAACAGCTTTATGGAAAGCTATAGCTTCAGCCAGAGTTGAGCCTGATGACTTCGTCATCTGAATAAAAACTCAAACATCATCATTGGCTGCCCTTAAGTTTTAAACTTTACCACTATTGGGGAGTAAAATTTTTGTTTTACATCCATAAGTGTTAATTAAAACATAAATGAACAGTAAATAACTCTTGCTTTCATATTCTTATGTAGAGAAATGACGATGTGTTTTCACATACTGTATACTCACTTACATACAGGGAGTTCTGCTATAACGCGTGTTTTGATAACGCGAATTTGCTCTAACGCGATTTATGAATTCGGAACAATATTTGTATAACGCGAACGCTTGTTTGCTATAACGCGATTTTTGCTTACTATTTCTCCAATTTTGTGGTATTAACTGTGAATATGGTAAAGAAGAATATCTCCAAAAAGCGCTCTGATGATAGAATTCCCGGTGATTATCGTAAAAGAAAGGATATAACACTTGAAGAGAAGCTCAATGTTATCAACCTCAAAATCACCCTTCTCCCCCATCAAGTTACATTCATATTTTTTCAAGGTAAAGTGTTAAATTTACTGTATGATTTCATTATTAGATATGAATGTAACATTTATTTAGACTGTGCTATCCTTTGTGTTAGGCTAAATACTAAATTTTTTCGATTTCGAGTAATCTGCACCTAACCCTATTTTCTCCATAAGCCCTGTTATTTCTATTACGCGATTTTCTATAACACGATATTTTACAAGAACACAATTATCGCGTTATAGCAGAACTACCTGTACGTTGGTGTTCCCAATCGTCTCGCTTTATTTCTTTACCATTAGTGGTTAGCTGCTTCTATTGTTCCCTTTATTAACATTGAATAACATTACTTAAAACATACATACAGGTATTAATTTTTTTTTTTTTTTTTTTACATTAAGTTCACTACAGCTACAACCAGGGTCTTGTTTCTTCATTTTCATATGTTGAACCATTGTCATTCACGAAAACAATGCCGTCTTGTCTCCTCTTGTGTGTTTTAATATTCTACTTATTATTAATGAATTGCATTGTTGATTTCACATATATAAACATTAATTCAATCAAATACATATTCAGTAATAAACAATAATGAATCTTTTGTACATACAGTGAGTTCTGCTATAACGCGTGTTTTGATAACGCGAATTTGCTCTAACGCGATTTATGAATTAGGAACGATATTTGTATAACGCGAACGCTTGTTTGCTATAACGCGATTTTTGCTTACTATTTCTCCAATTTTGTGGTACAGTGGGGTATGCTATAACGAATCTAATTGGTTCTAGAACCTTGTTCGTTATAGCATTCGTTCGTTATAGGATTAATCCGTTCCAGGCCCCCAAATACAACCACTTAACACTGAAAAATATAATATAAAATTGTAAAAATTGTAAAAAAGTGCATAAATATGCATCTAAACCCCTGAAATAAAGAATATCATTAATATTTGTAATAAAAAAACAATAAATTAGAAAAAAAAAATTAAATAATGTTCGTTGTAGGAGTTTCGTTCGTTATAGCATTCTCAATTTTATAGGTAAAACCGTTCGTTATAGGAATATTCGTAGTAGGATCCGTTCGTTATAGCATACCCCACTGTATTAACTGTGAATATAGTAAAGAAGAATATCAACAAGAAGCGTTCTGGTGATAGAATTCCCGGTGATGATCGTAAAAGAAAGGATATAACACTTGAAGAGAAGCTCGATTTTATCAACCTCAAAATCACCCTTCTCCCCCATCAAGTAAAGTGTTACATTTACTGTATGATTTCATTATTAGATATGAATGTAACATTTATTTAGACTGGTATACTTTGTGTTAGGCTAACTACTAAATTTTTTCGATTTCGAGTAATCTGCACCTTACCCTATTTTCTCCATAAGCCCTGTTATTTCTATTACGCGATTTTCTATAACACGATATTTTACAAGAACACAATTATCGCGTTATAGCAGAACTACCTGTATTCTTAAGATAAATGACTATGTTTCCTTGAGTGCGCACATGTACACTGGCGTTCCACTATCAGTCTCACTTTTTTCTTTAATATCATTGGTTACTTCTTCTGTACATTAAATAACATTAATTAAAACTATACATATTTTTTTACATTAATTTTACTACAACAGCATATATATAAAGATTAATTCAATCAAATTCATATTCAGTAATAAACAATTCATGAATCTTGTACATACTGTATTCTTAATAAGATATATGACGCTGTTTCCTTAAATTCGCAAGTATATTTTGGCGTTCTCAATCCATCTCACTTTATTTTCTTTGCCATTCGTGGTTAGCTACTTCTATTGTTCCGTTTATTAACATTAAATAACATTGTACTTAGAACATATATATTCATTTATTTACATTAATTTTACTACAGCTACAACCTGGGTCTTATTTTCTTATGTAGAACCATCATCCCAGACTCCCAGCTGTAAACACTAACGAAAACAATGGCGTCCCATCTCCTCTTGTGTGACCATATTATTATTTATTTATACATTGTATTGTATAAGGTGCATACATAAACATTATTTAAAGAATATAGTTTGCATTTTTCATTAATTTTATTGTTTGGGGGGAAAAGAGGGTAAAAAGCCAGACAAAAGATATGAAAAGGTCAGACTTGGGAACACATCTCATTATTATTGCTTTATTTTAATGGTAATTAATGATTGATGATATGATGATTCACCTTACACTGCAATATTGGAGAACACATAACCGTCGTTATTCGAGGCTTTACTGTATACAGTACTGTATATTGTGCAGCGAATTCTACTTTGATTTTATTGGATATAAAATCTGTCGAGTGACTGGAGGGTACGAGATTTAATAATTTTTTGTAGTGGTTGTGCTGTTGTGTGAAGTGACTGGGATATACCAAATAAAGACTGTGTGAATCCTTGTGGAAGGGTGTCACTGTAGTAAAACATTTATGTTACACTGGTAAGAGTAAATAAATGACTGAAAGTATGTCTTTTCCTGATTTTGATCACCATATATTACTGCAGGAATATGCTTGGAAAAAATGCTCAATACAGTATTTATATTTTTTTCTTTCAGATATCTCACTCCACCTGATAACCAAGGATTTGCACCTCATTGGGATGATATTGAAGCATTCATATTGCAGCTTGAGGGGAAGAAGCATTGGAGAGTCTACCAACCAAAGTATGATGTCATTCATCTCTTTTTTGTGTGTATAACATGTTACCCTTTAGTATTATATTCAAGACATAAATTTATGTGAGTGTTTCTTATGTTGTCTGGGAGGGAGATACATGAACATAGGTGAAAATATAAAGAAGCTAAATCAGATCCTCTTGGCTCACATAGCTAAAGCCACGGTGAGTTATTATGATAGTCTTGTATTTATCATGTTTTACATGTGGTGCAGCCATTAATGCTGAACTTGTTTTCTAAGCTGTTGTTTATACGTTTGTCACTCATAGTATAAAAATTGCAGACATGACTTGTGCAAATAGTTTATTATAAGCAATGAGAAGATGCATTGTTTCATCTTAGTGTGAGGGTGTATCATAAAGAGTTATACATTAGATTTTTTCAGGTCAAAAGAGTTGGAGCTTCCTGTACTCTCAAGTCATAATCTCTGTCAAGATGAACTTGGCAAACTTATTTTAGATGTTACTCTAGAAGAAGGTGACCTTTTGTACTTCCCCCGAGGCTTTGTTCACCAAGCTAACACAGTGGGCAACACGCATTCTCTCCACATGACCATCTCCACATACCAGAAGAATACATGGGGACACTTACTTGAAAAAGTGAGTTATTAAATAAATTATATGTGTGTTTGGATGCACATGTTGTGTCTCTTATTTTATTCAGCATAAATAGACTCTACAGTATGTGTTTCAGAACAAACATCAATCTGTCTGTTACCTTAAATGGAATGTTATATATTATGTAAGTTTAAGAAATTTCTCTCTTGTAAAACGAGATTTCAGTCAAACTTTGAGTTCTCCACACATGAGTTATTGTGGGAGAAGGCATGAAGGAATAAGAAAGAAATGTTGGAACATGTTTACTTTGTGTGTGAATTATGATTTTTCCAGCAACTGTGAGCTATATTGGAAGGGAGAAGGCGTGAAAGAATAAGAAAAACCTATCTGGACACATTTATGTACTGTAGTGTACATTATTTAATAATTCATCTGTTGGGATCTTGATATACAACCAAAAATTAATGAATTATTCACCATTTGCTGATTCAGTCTTTTTCATTTACTTGTACAGTTTACAGTAGACTCGCAACTTACACGCTTCCAATTATATTCGGATTACCCCATGGGTTAGGTTACAATTTCAAACTCAAAATTTTAAATTTTTTATTATTAGTGCATACTATAGCATGTTTATATTCAAATTAATAACTATCTTATAAGAATCCCAACAATGTAAATTATTTTCTCCCAGGTCAGTTAAGTAACATTTTATAAGCAAAAACTCACTCGAAAGGACAAAAATAAATAAATAAATAAATAAATAAATAAATAAATAAATACCGTAATTACTTCACTAGACCTCTCTGGGCCAGCTGTTAAACACATCACCTCCCCTCCTTCCCGCTCCCCCTTCTTCCCAGCCAGGGTTTGGTGGTTTTAGGCCACACCCCCTTCCCTTCCCATGAGTCGTGCACTAACTCCTGCTGGCATAAGAAAAGTTTATTCTGTATGTTTTTTACTTAAAGTTTAAAAAAAAATTCCACTTTCTGTATAAACGATTGTGTGTGCATGTAACAGTAAAAAAGAAGAAATTACGTATATCTACCTGAAATTACGAGTTAAATAACAATAACACTTTGGCCTGTTGGGGTAAGAGCTAGAGGGATGTAGCTACAGTTACAATCTAACTAGGCAACATGCCAAGTCCACATACATGCCCATGCTCTTTATTGTTCTTATTTTATTGCAACATACCATCTCCACAGATATTATTTTTTCCAAGTTGCTTTGTGAATAAGCGGAGTATGCTTTGTAAATATCGAATATAGGTGTTAAAATATCAATAGCAAATAGCAAGGTACAGTATTCTTCTACTGTACAGTAAACCCTCACTTTACGCGGTCAATTGAACCCACGACGGCCCGCGTAAAGTGAACAACATAACATATGGGATTAATTGAAATAGAGACCGGGCCGACCCCCAAACTCCACTTTTTCAGACACAGTACCTACGTTGTAGTAAAAATAACTTCTTTATTTTATGATGGTATGCACACACAATTAATAATTAAGAGAAATATCAATAATATTAGGTTTTTTAACACTTACATTAATAGAAAAGATGGCTGGGCACATGGGGATGGGGGGTTGGTTCCGAGGCAGAGGGCAGATTATTGGCCCTCACCTGTATCACTTGTATCAATTGTATCACTATCCACCACAGAGGCTTGCAGGGCCTCTTTGTCAAACCCCTCAAAGTCCATATAAGTCCATATCCTCACTATCATTATCACTGACTTGGGCCGGCGGTGGCGGGTGAAGAACTCGGTAATGTTTTGATGACTGGGCGACCTTGTGTGCACCCTGCTCGCGCCGCTCTCCGCGTAAAAGGGTACACACACTGCGGAAAGTGAGCATTCTGGTTTCGGCAGGGTACCGCGTAAACGTGGAAACGCGTAAAGCGGGGGTTTACTGTATATGGCTGCAGAGAGGGACTCGCTGTGAGGTAAAACACTTTTTAAAATTATTTCATTTCCATGATACTATAGACCATAAGCAGGTCATCTGCCCAATATTCTGTGACTGTATTGCACTACGCAGATCATTTGTCAAAACAGCAGCAAACAAACAAACAAGCTTGTACAATGGCAGGAGACGATGAACTAAGAGAAGATAGGCTCCCAGATACAGTGGCCAATCATAGACATCACATGCTGTCACATGACAATAGTAGGCAATCACAGTGCATGAGCACTCTGAGCCTACAACCTAATTTCTCCAAGCAGCTAGCCCACCCATGCATTCGGCACATGATGTTTGCTGTCTTTCAGAAATTCGTTCAAATGCCAGAACAGAGGGATGTTTATGAAATTTTATTTTCTGGGCAATGAAAAGTTCCAGGGATTGAAGATGCCAACAATCTGGGATATTACTGTACACAATTGCTATGGCACTCTACACATTGGTTTTACTATCAAACAATTAAGATGACAGCATCTGCTAGTGAGTACAATATGGTGTATACTGTAAAGTAGTGTACCTGTGCAGTAATGTTTGCATAAATGGATACAGTTTTGTGGCTGTCTGACTGCAGTTAAGCCTTCCTGGCAATGATGCTATGTGCCAGAAGTATAGTTTAGACTCGGAAACAATCACCAATGCTTGGAAAAACTCCTTTATTTAATGTGTGATTTTTTTTCTGGGGATAAAGATTCATCAATACCCAGAAATCTCCTGAACACAGAAACATTCTGTACAAATTGTTCTGGTTGTCAGGGATAATACTGCAATGCAACTACAGTACTGAGTCTTGAAGTTATGGCAGTGTTAGTAACAGAAAAGTTAGAGGCAAAATATCCTTATAGCTCTGTATTGACAATGATTAAGATGGCTAAGTACTGTATCTTGAAATATATTTGTAATCATGAGAGAGTACTGTATGTAAAATATGGTCTAATTACTTTTTAATTGTTTTCCAGCTGTTACCTCAAGCACTGACTACAGCCATGGCTGAGGATAAAGAATACAGGCAAGGTCTCCCCCGTGATTACCTAAATAGTATGGGGATAGTCAACATGGATAAAGATTCTCCAAGCCGGAATGATTTCAAAGCTAAGGTTTAGTACATATTGTATATCTTCACATTGTGATAGTTTATATAACCCAAGTTTCATGTATCTTTTTTAATATACACAGTACAGTAAACCCTCAATAACTCGGCACATATGGGGCTCTGGTCTTGCCGAGTTATCCCAAATTCCGACTTATCGAAGCACTTCCCCCCCTCCTACAAATACACAACAATAAAAAATTATTGACCCATATATGTGAACATGTAATTACTAAATGTAACACCATCACTGCAGGCAAAGAATGAAGCATGATAGTAGGTGACACAGAGGTATGGTAGGTGACAAAGAGGTGATGCAGGTGGCCAGATATGTAGAGATTTTCCCAGATAATTTTATATATCACAGCATTTCACGAGTTATACTAATACCGTACATTCCGACACCATATTCATGCCGAGTTTTATGAAATTCTGAGTTATCAAATGCCTAGTTATCTAGGGTTTACTCTACATGTAAATTTTAGAATAATAAATGAATGAAAATTATTTTGTTATCATTATTAGTCCAGAAGTTGCAGTGTAACAATAAAAGAATGAACTGAGAAGCTGAAGATTATAATATTAAATGCTTGATATCTTTTTAAGCACCTAGGGACTTTAATCCTCTTCTTTAGTAAACATGGGGTGGTCTTCAACTTTCTACCTCAGTCATCTGACCCTTTCCTTACTTGGCACCAACTTTTAACCTCTACCTACTGGATGGCTTACGAAAAATAACAAAATACAATCTTCAAATATTTCTGTGGATGTACAATGAGAAAAGGAGGTTGCCAGTGACACCATTCAATGTGTTGGGTGGTCAAGTTTCATTATGGTGGCAGCACACTGGGCACTTTCCTGCCAACATGTTGCCCATTTTGTTGGCTGCTGGCCTGACGGCCCAGCAAGCAGCAGGATTTCGCCTGTTGCGAGAAATAGACACTGGTTTAGTGGCGAGCTTTGCTGGCTGGATTAGTGCTCATATGAGCTTCATATTAGGTTTTGAATATTGAAGTAAAATTTTAAATAATTCATGAAACAATACTCCACCAATTCCCCCATTAACGTCCTTGTTAAGTTCCTTCACAAGTTTTAAGACGTAAAAAGTGATTACAGCACAGTTACGTATTATATTCAGCAGTGTATGCCTACTGTAGGCTCAAGATGACAGCATCTGCTGATGAGTACAGTATATTGTACATGTTGTTTTTGTTGTGTTTTTACAGGGGTTAAACCACCCAGGCACAGGTCACTGACCCACATCGGGGCCTGGGGGGCAAAAATATAATAATAATAATAATAATAATAATAATAATAATAATAATAATAATAATAATAATAATAATAATATTAATATTTAAAATAAAAATCATAATAAATTTTATAAAAAAAAAAATTAAAAATTAAAAATAAAATAAAATTATAATAATAATAAAGATTAATAGTGAGAAACAATATATGTATGTTGTGTTGTCAGAGTGAGAGAAAACAATTGAGATCCTGCATTTGTGTGTAAATGAGGCAGAAAATCAGATCAGCAACCTGGGACTTGGTCAAAATTTTTGTGATGCCATATGGCAGCAGGGCTACCATTAGACAACACATTATGCTTCCAATATCTTCCCAGGTGGTAGTACCTCCCTGTTTGGTAGCTGCCTACTACCTGCAGTACAATACAGTAGTACACCATTACCCCCACTAACGTTATTGTTAGGTTCCTGAAAACCACAAATTTAAGTGAAACGACGTAAAGTGAAAACAATTTTACCAAAGACACAATGATATAAATATGGGTTAGTGTTCCTTGGGTACATTTCTGGTCAAAATGTTCTCAATACTTGCCAAAAATGTTTCACTTTCAGCACTATCACCTTCTTGTTTCAAAGTTTCAAATAAACTTAGAGCATTCACCTGTATGGAGAGCAATGAACACAGACCCCCCCTCTTCATCAGAAAATTCAATATTTTTTCTTTAATGCAGTATTGTACTCAGGCATTTTTTATAGTAAAAAGTAATTACTATTGACCTCAGAATATCACCTAATATCAAGTGCGCTTGGCTTCAAAATAGCCTCAATATGGCCATGATATTGGTCAGATTAAAAGAAAATTTTGGGAGTGGGGCGGCTTACAGCAACCCCCCCCAAAGCAGCTGGGTGGGCTCGCTATGCTTGCAATGTTCCTCCACCTACAATTTCTTGGACCCCTCCCTTTTGATATTCCTGGATCTGCCCCTGAATGGAAGTGGTATATCAGCTGCATATGTGATTTTGTTCAAGGAATTGTATGATTTAGATACTGTACTGTAAACTTTCTGATTTACAGGTCAGCGAGTTATTCACACGTTTGGGGAAGTATCTTAGCATTGATGCTGCAGTGGATGAACAAGGGTGCAGTTTAATGCATGATGCTCTTCCACCTTGCTTAACACAAGGTTAGTAGTACATTAGATGCAAAAACAAACAAATATATATTATACCTTTATATAAGTATTATGGTCTGTTTGAGAGAGGCTCATATAGGTCTCATGACCTGAAGATATTTTGAATAAAGACAAAACCTGAGGTACTCCAGTGTTTCCCACTTACTGAATGTACTATACAATACAGTATACATAACTCTAATTACTTTTTACATCTTAACACTGTATTCTTGGCTGATTTGTCTTGGTACAGTGATGTACAACACAAATTGTATTAAAAAACAACAGCTAGCAAGGAAACATCTTTCTACAGTGGCAGCTGAATATGAACTAAGCGATTCTAGCAGTTAGGCCACCCATGTGCCTGGCACATGGGGATATGTCAGAGCATGATGCAATCTCTCTGGACTCTCGGAAAATTTATTCCCAGGGCCGGAACAGAGAAGTTTGGAAAGATTTTCTCGGAACCTTCTAGGAATTTTTCAGGGAAATGTGCCTGATTTTCATCTTCAGAAACTTGTTCATAGACCCAAATTGGAGAGAGCATTTCCGGCTCGATTTCCATTTCAGCTATTGGAGAGTTCCGGGATCAGGGATTCTGGCTAACAGGGAGATTATTGTAAATTTGAATTTGTTTCTTTCACCGTAACTTGTCATATTTTTATATTTTACTATCTTAGTTAATAATGTATTGTGTTGCAGAGGATAAGAGTTGTAGTGTATATGGTAATGGTGAGCGATGGGGCCACAAGAAGCAGAAGGTCATTGATCGGGTAGAGCTCAGGCCAGACACTCCCATAAGGCTTATTCGAGGAAATTGCTTAAGGTGAGATTACATTAAGCAAACCTTAAATTGGAATACTACCTGGGCCGGTATACTCAAAACTTTTCTGCTAATGACATAATATTACTGTTAGCTAGCAGTAAAATTTAAAAGTTACAAACAAAGATGAACTTGCAAACTTTTACCACACAAATAGGTGTTTGTTAAGTACCGCTAAACAGCGCTAAGGACAGGAGGAGTTCATCATATAAAATGGCTTATGGCTGAATAACCTCAATAAAATTATGAAGATTAATTTCTATCTTTACATTTATTTACATTTTGATCATTAACATAAAAAAAATCTAATTAAGCGGTTTTAAGGAGGATTTATTAACCAAGGATAGTGATCGGTGGCTTTGCCGTACTGTTTGTAAACAAACGTGTTATTGAGGAACGGACAAGATGAACATCACAGAAATGGAAGCCTCAATCCAAAGAAAGAAAAGAAAGCCCAACTGGACAGCAGACCAGACTTTATTATGGGTGGCGGTCATTGAAGAGAAAAGTTAATATTGGATGGCCGCTTCAAGCCTTTCCTGAATAATAAGGACAAAAGGAGGGCAGGGCTGGAAATCACCATGAGAGTCAATGCTGCTTTCTTTGAATTTCTGTCTGGGTGAGTGGGAACTTCACAAACTGACAAAAAATGTTTGATTCAATTAGTGTAATCAGTGTCTGAGTTAGAGTACAGCTGATACCTGTAGTAAGCTGAGTGGTTCCAAAATCATCGCTGCTACACAGCTGCATTCTTCCAGTCGCTAAATAACAGAAGGTTATGACACTTTCATCTCTGGGGTTAGAGCCCAATTCCTCCCAGTTCTACTTTATAACGTTTCCCTCACTAAATCAGTCACTGCCAGGATACCTGCATGGTCCAGCCGGTATCGCATGAAGAGTTCAGAATCACTATTTTCATTAAATATCTCTCCTTTCCCAATAAATGCGTTGCCGCCGCTGATGTTGTTGTTGGTTCACCAGGGTATCAACTATCAGACGACTATTACGGGACTTAAAAGTGTTCCCCGAGGTCTTTTAATTTAACAGTACTATTGAGGCTCTTAAAAGTTTTGTGTGTGTGTACTGTTAGTGCTTAACAAGAGAAGTCAACCTTAACAACTGTTTGTTAGCACTTAAAAGTTTTGTGTACTGTATACCTGCCCTTGAATCCAAAATGTATAATTTTGGTAATTAGTTGTCCTGACAAACTTTGAAACAATTCCACTTATTTTTCAATAGTAATTGATCCGTTCCTATGAGATTTTGATGCTTAATTTTGTTTTTCTGTAATTCCAGGTCTTCTAAGCTAGATTAAAATGTGTGTTAATCTTTAATTAATAGACAAGAAATGTTTTTGCCTTCCAAAACCTCAAAGCCAACTCTCTTTGGTGTTGCTTAAAATCTAAATTTTGGTACTCCACAAAATACTGATTGAGGCTCATGGGTAAAATGTGGGAATTTTGGCAATTGACTTATTACTACATGAATGATTTTACTTAAAAAGGTTAAAATTATGTAACGTTGCCAATTATATGAGTACATCTTGTGCCTTTTAGAAGCATTTTTAGTGTTCTTTAATTGTGAAACTTATAAGCTCGGTAAAAAATTTGAATATTTTTTAGTTCCAAGACCTTGAATTAGGTTATATTTATAAAGAAATTTATAATTAAACAGGTAACCCAAAGAAAAAATATTGTGTCCTCAGAGTGGTTGCCGAGAGTGACACTGTTAATGTCTACCATTGTCTAGAGAACACTCGTGAATACCACCAGGAAGAACCACAGTTTGTAGAGCTGGTCCCAGAAAATGCACCCGCTATTGAGGCCTTGGTTCATGCATATCCAAAGTATTTGACTGTCGAGAGTCTTCCTTTAAATGATGATGCCGAAAAGGTAAGAAATTTTGTTTCCATTGTGTTATTATGAATGTTTTATAGATATTGAACTCACGTGGTTCTCATACCTGCATCTGAGTTGATGCAGCAGTTGTGTACTAGGTGAATTAATTTTAGTAATGAATGGAATGCGAGGTGTGTGGTAGGAGATCATTGTTAAGCAGTTACTAATCTTTGCTAAAAGACCTGATGAAAAAGGACATTAATTTCAACTTCAGAAAAAAGATGCCGAAAGGTTTTATGTGGCATTGACTGTTGTATGGATCAGATGCATGAACACTTTCAGCAGACACCAGAAAGAGGTTGGAGGCCTTTGAAATGGTGTGTTATAAATAAATTTTAAGAGTAAGCTACACTTACAGGAAAATGATTGAAGAAGTACAGGCAATCCCCAAGTTACGATCCTCATGCTGTTATGTTCTTAAAAAAATAAAAAAACGACTTTTGACCATTTGTAATACTTACGAACCAAGCGCTGAGCACTCTACTTTGTTCGGCTCACCGTGCCAGCTCCCCTACTGAGCCAGCTAACTCATGTGCAAAGAAATGTATATTCCCTTTGTGTGTTTGCCCTTATGACAATGATTTATTTATTTATTTATTTTTCATAATATGTATGTAGGATGGTGTGTGCATGTAACTGAGTAAAAATAAATGAAGAAAGTTACATATATCTTCCCAAAAATACGAGTTGAAAAACAACCATAACACCTCGCAGCTTGGTGGTTACAGTGATGAGTCTAACCTAACATGGACACAAGTGTTTGCATCATTGATTCAGTGATTGCAAGTTTATGTTTTGAAAAGCATTTTCTTAACATGTAAATCTCCCTCGAATTAAATACTGGGGGTTGAACTGTTTTTTGAAACGGGCTAAAATTTATTTTAGCTGCTTTTACTGGTTAAGTTAGCATGACCAATCAGTTGAGTGCTTAATTGATGTACACTTTACTAGGGGTGCACCGGAACCTCAATTTTTATGAAGTTCCGGTTCTTGCCGAAACATTAGAAAAATAACCGGGCAGAACCAGAACTTTTTATTGTTATATTGGTTTAGTAGAGAATCCACTAAACATCTTTACCTCCTTACATCCACCTCAGCTGCTATTGAGGGAGACACTGAGTCATGTGTGAGGCAGCTGGGTGAGCTGACTTGAGTTTTAACCCTTAGGCTCTTGGTGACATTCCAGAACTTTTTTCGTGATAACCCTTCATTACTTTTCAGGAGATTTCAGAATGGTTTGCAGGGGAGTCCCCAATATATTAGTTGCATTGGTGTACATGAGAACATCCGCGGATGTCACACCATTGCCAGGAAATTTGGGATTGGAAGTTCTAATTTGCCTTCACCACTACCTTAATATTTATTTGGGGTACGGTAATTGTTGTTGAGCAACATGATGTAAATACTGTATAACAAAATATTAAATTGGTGTATTATTGTGGGGATTTTATTATGCATTTGTTGTGGGAGACTACTGTATTGTTAAGATCAATGCTCGTCTAAAAAAAATCAGTTCTTCAGACTAATTGTGTTATTATTTTACAGATGGCAGTGGCCAGTGGATTGTGGGAACGAGGACTTATAGTGACAGCGACGCCTCTGAATATTGTTGACAATAAATAAGAACATGTAAAAGTATGACAAAAATTTTTTTTAATTGTTTTCATTGTAGTATTCAAGTTATGGTATTACTCTACAGTAGTTACAATACTTTACAAATTTTATGTATGACAAAAATGGTCTGTTATATTTAAAATCTTTGATTTTATAGAGAACTCTTCAGCAAATTGTAAGGATCTTTCATTATTCATAAAATCATCTTCTTCTTCCTATGGTGTTGACAGTTTTATGTCCTTGTTTTGTTTGTAATAACATAAATGCTTTCTGAAGTAATAATGAGTGAATAAACTGGATGGAAAGAAATATATATTTATTATCCATTCCTGGGCATGTTAAAATATCGGAGGAAAATATTTTTGGAATATTACTTTTTAGTAAACAAACTGATGAACAAGTTCACAGTATTTTAAAGCATTTATTATATCTTTATAGAGCAGGAGACAACTAAGATTTTACCCCCCAAAAAACTTATTGATACTAATAACACACTTTTTTCCAACTGTAAAATGCTTACCAAAATTTTCATTGCCATTTCCTGCACCGGGGCTTGCCAGTAGTGTACTTTGAAAAGAAATTCATATTTATAAAAATTTACCTCGGAATACAACCAGCATTGATTTTGATTTTATATAAATTTGTATTATTCAGTGTTCCTATATAAAGTATCTTGACCAAAAAGTTTGGGCCCAAGAGTCTTCCACAAAATGGATACTATCACAAACTTGTGTCCCAGGAAAGCATGTAATGAATCATACCGTACTAGTTTGGTTTAATTACCATACTCATATTTATTTCTGCAGTTACCTGTATAGTCATGTAAATAAAAAATTTCAATTTACAGAAACTTTAAATGAGAAAGCGGCATTTGGCAACTACCCAACTCACTTTATTTTTTTGAGGTGGAACATAAAACACAAAATAATAAATAAATGCTAAAGCAGTTTACCATAAGAAACATAACAATTGTGTTAACTGAAGTAAATATCGAATACAAAATTTGAACTGAAATAATACACCTTTTCACATATCCGTTGAGACATTGTTACATAACTATTTGACAAATTTCATAACCGATTGACAGACAGAAAACATATCGAATGACAATAAAACATAACTGTTCGTTCATGCTAACGGAAATGATTGTCATAAGTTATGAAGTTGACAGACGTGAACAATAAACCAACAGTCTACATATAGTTTGAGAAAGTAACAATTGGAGAATGACATACCACCAACAGTTATTTTAGATTGTCATTCAATGTGTGTTCTGTCTGTCATTCGGTTATGAAATTTGTCAAATAGTTATGTAACAATGTCTCAACGGATATGTGAAAAGGTGTACTCATAACCACCATGTTTATGCCATGTCTCTAATGAACAAATATAGCCCATATTCACCGCCTCAAAGAACAGTGACGTAAGGTGGGAACGTCCACAAAACAGGTGTGCTTAAATAAACATTTCTTGATATCTTTTCCCCTAGTAACAATTAGAAAATTAATTGCCATTTATACTCTGAAGGTACAGTCTCGTTCAAGATTCTTCGAACACTGCTGGAGACAGTTGACAACTCGAGGCTGTTTGTTTACTGTACAGTACTGTAGTACGTAGTAAAAATTATGAATAAATGAAAAGGTGATCGGTGACTTAATTCCGCCTTGCTTAATTTAATGGTTGGGCTTTGTTGTTTCATATATTATACCTGTACTACATACTATTGTAAACAAATGGCCTTGAGATGCCAGCTGTCTCTAGCAGTGTTCGAAGAATCTTGAACGAGAATGTAAGTATTGCATTATTTAGCATCCGAGAATAAAATATAAAACATTAAAGATTCCCGTTATCCAGTCATTTGTCATGGATGAAAAAAAGTAAAACTTGGTTAAATTGCTAACTTCTATGAACCCTTATTCAATTAATAATTTTAGAGTAAAACTATTTATATAATGTTCTAAAAATAAAGTAATTATAAACAAGGAAATAAGCCATATGCAGAATATTCTACAATAGAAGTGTCATCGGTTTTTGTTGCTGCATCATCTTGGACTGGCCATTTTATTTACTTTTTCCAGCACACATTTTCTTTATCTTTAAAGCATGGGATTGGGACTTGCCGGTAATACACATTTTAACCCTTTCACCGCATGGCTCGACTTTTTGCACATTTTTATTTTTTCCTTCACTGCATAATTTGACTTTAGTCCATATTCGTAAAAAATCTTTGTTAACGCTCGACTACAGTCCTTCAGGGTTTGAATTACGCGCTGGCCCAATAGATGCGGTCACCTAGCGAAGACTGGGGCAAGCTGAAGCTCCCGCCATCAAAACGCTAGGAGTCAACATTGCTGCTCTGTGTTTTGCCCAGTTTCCCGATTTTTATGACTAATAACTGTTTATATTATACAGTCAACCCTCACTTTACGCGGTCCCACATTCCGCGTTTCCACGTTTACGCGGTACTCTGCCGGAACCCGGGATGCTCACATTCTGCGGTGCATGTACCCCTTTATGCGCAGAGAGGCTGGCGAGCCACGCCATTTTTGGATCCAAACCTCCCACCATCCGCCATGTTGTGTAAAAGCGCAACCAGGGTGCGCACAAGGTCGCCCAGTCATCAAAACATTACCGAGTTCTTCACCCGCCACCCACCACAGCCGGCCCAAGTCAGTGATAATTATAGTTAGGATATGGACTTATATGGACTTTGAGGGGTTTGACAAAGAGGCCCTGCAAGCCTCTGTGTTGGTTAGTGATACAATTGATACAAGTGATACAGGTGAGGGCCAATAATCTGCCCTCTGCCTCGGAACCAACCCCCCATCCCCGTGTGCCCAGCCATCTTTTCTACTAATGTAAGTGTTAAAAAACCTAATATTATTGATATTTCTCTTAATTATTAATTGTGTGCGCATACCATCATAAAATTAAGAAGTTATTTTTACTACAACATAGTTGTGTGTCGTCAAAAAGTGGAGTTTGGGGGGTCGGCCCGGTTCAATTAATCCCATATGTTATGTTGTTCACTTTACGCGTTTCTCACTTTCCGCAGTACCCTGTGGGTTGTATTAACCGCGTAAAGTGAGGGTTGACTGTATATATAATGTTAGTATTTATTATATAGATTCAATACTAGCACTTGGAGTGTGAACGAGGTAAGTTGGGAAGTGAAATTATTTCTTGCATCGGCCATGATGGAAAATTATGACATTGTTTATTCATGTTTTCTTTTTGGAGAATAATGGTATACTGTATAGTGATATTTTAAGTTTAAGAGTGTGCTTTATGAAATATGTATTAGAAAGCAATAGTGCATAATGAATAAAGCAGAAAGGAAACATAAGATAAGAGGAAATAGAGCAACACATAACCAGAGAACCAAACACGGCATACAATATTGAGACGGGTTTCCTAATACTTTGCCTTTCAGAAATGTCTGGAATATGCGAGTGAGTAAGGCGTGTAAAATGTGAAAGGAAAATCAAGTTTTTTTTAATGAATATATCTGAATTTATTCTTTACCTATACAGTATATGTATAATATGGACACGAAGTAGTACCTTAAGCTGTGTATTCTTATATTACTCTATTAATTATGTTTAGTAAAGTATTACAGAACATGTATTAATCCTATGTAATGTTTCCATTTATTATGCACCATGTTATGTATATGTATTATCATATTTACATATCATGTATTCAGCTTGTGAACGCTAGCATCTGTGCATGCCAGTGCGGAGTGATACATGGCGTTGAGATCGCTAGTCCTTATGGTGTGGAAGCCACCGTTTATTTGTTCCTCAGTATTTGTCTCCCATAAGAGAATAAGAACCAATTTTCAAGATAAGTGTTTGCGTACACCCTCAGTAGTGTAGAACATTTTGGGGGTATCTAAGACAGACATAGATGGTGCAGTGACAGACAGAGTATGTATTTCCAAAGGTGGTTTACTTCCTTGTCTTACAATCAAATTCATCCTTGTAATCTTAATTTATATTGTGTTCTAGTCCAATAAATAACAAGTGCATTAGAATAACTAGTCTATTCCAATCTTTTATTTCATTTACCCACTAACATTCTTGTCTGTGCACAAGTGATTTTTGCATTTGCCCCTTTTACCTTTTGCCTACAAAAATATGAGGGAATGCCAGAAAAAGTTAGGTAGTGAGAAATTTAGCTCGGCAGTTAGTTAATATACCATCTTACTCCAACGGCATTCAGCCCACTGGTCAGTCACTCACTGGGCTCCCGCCGCCAAGTTACCAGATACCAATGTTTGAATACTGAAAACCCTGACATCACCTCATTGGACGATTATACACTAAATACTTTATTATTCTCCTGGACACTGTTATTAAGTCTACAAATAAGCTTTCCCCGAGTCATCATTCTCCTACAGTCACTGTATACGTTAATCCTCAAACTTGTGTAAAGGCAAGTACACTCATCACTCACACAGACACTGAGCTGGTTGCCAGACTGTCCAATATCTTTCCATTTACTCTCATGTACTGTATGGAAAACTACAAAAAATTATACAGTACAGTATTTAGAATGCTTAAATATTTAGTACTGTAAAGTAGTTTACTTACTGTACAGTATTTTGTAAATTAGATTTTCTGTTCATAAGTACTTTACTGTACTGTACTACGAATTACTTTATCAACATTATTAACCCCTTCACTACAGAGATGCCACTTTTAATATTTTATTTGGACATCATCATATGGTTTTATTCAGCTCAGAGGTGACCCCATACACATAGGATTAGTAGATTGTCTCCCCTAATATCTTTATAATGTGCAGTATTATTATTAAGATCAAACCAGGTTGTTAACAAGTTTATTAAATAGGACAATTCATAAGATTTATAGGCTGCTCCAAGACTTGTGTACAGTAATTTTATTGAGTATGACAAACATAAAAAATTATGATCACAGGACTTAAAAACTGAAGAAAATTTTTTTTAATTAAACAAATTTTTTTATTAAGATTAGGTTGAGAAAAAAAAAATAATTTCCTTCCTTAAGAAATTTGTCAAAGTAACTTCAAAGAGAGTTTATTTTTAATTTCCTGCTTAAGTACGGTAAGTTAGCAGTGCAGAATGTGGTTGCAAAAAAGTCAAGCTGGATTGGAAATTATATAATGTACTACAGTAGAACCTTAAAATAAAGACAAGAATCATACAAACAGGAACATCATCTTATATAGATACAACTACGTAGCTGCAGGGTACTGTAAAGCTTGGAGAGTTTCCTGTTGCTTACGATTTCTTTCCCATCGATAAACTTTTGCTAGATAACCCACACAGAATGATACCAGTATTAAACACACTAAAACTGAAGCAGAAATTATTACATAAATCTTCCACCCGGAACTTTCTAAATGTTCATCTGTTGCATCAGTCGGCCCTATTTCTTCATTTTTTTCAAGAGGCAGTAAATTTATGACCTCATAATTACCATCACTTTCTGAAAGGTCCAAATCATAAGTTGTTTTACTGATATTTTTTGGGGTTTCTGCAGTTTCAGTAATGTTAGCATGTGAGATTAGAGGAGCTGGATTAATTGTTTCCACATGTTGGTGTTCCTTTTGATATTTGTCCTTTCTCTTTTGTTCTTCAATTAGTTTTAAACCATATAATGTTGAGTTCTCTTTGTTGTGTTTTAAGTCCCTCTCACTTTCTATATATGGATTCTCTTTTTCCCATGTTAGAACATTTTCTTTTTCCTCATAATCCTGATTTACTACATATATAATTAAAGAATACAGTGTATATAAAGTGTTAAAATATTTATAACCATTCCTATCGAAGATACCATCAGCATTCCCCTCATTTTTACCAATATTATCTATGTCCGTATGTGCCAAAGGACTGTCTTTTCTCTTTTGTTCTTCAATTAGTTTTAAACCATATAATGTTGAGTTCTCTTTGTTGTGTTTTAAGTCCCTCTCACTTTCTATATATGGATTCTCTTTTTCCCATGTTAGAACATTTTCTTTTTCCTCATAATCCTGATTTACTACATATATAATTAAAGAATACAGTGTATATAAAGTGTTAAAATATTTATAACCATTCCTATTGAAGATACCATCAGCATTCCCTTCATTTTTACCAATATTATCTATGTCCGTATGTGCCAAAGGACTGTTAATTCTGTCCATCATTTTAAATTGTTTTTCCTCAATATCATAATGATTCTCTGAATATTTGGACCTTTCCTCATTTGACGTGGAACTTTCTTTGAAAAAATTATCATCATCACTACCATCAAGATATGTGGCTTCCATTTGTTCATCATTCCTATGACTTTCAGAAATAAGATCATATACATTAATTGTTTTTTTGTCTCGTGTAGTTAACTTCTGTACTTTATGTTTGTCTCTAGTATTTAAGTATTGTTTCTTCACTATATTTGTTTCCTGGATATCAGGTATAGGCAAATAATGTTCAGTAGTCTGTTTCTCAAGTCCTTGCCCATAACCTTGAGTGTTAAGCTGCTCCTGTTTTGACATCAGATGTGTTTCAACACCTTTGAGACTAATTTTTTTATCAGATTTACTTTCTAGATCTTGTAAAGTTTTGAGGAGTGTTGCGGTTATTCCTGTTAGTACATATGAATTCCTATTACGATACTTTGATACCCTTAACTGCTGCTGAATAGAACTCTGTAGAAAAATTGTCGAACCTTTTGACTGGAGCACGATTCCTTCACCTCTAATATGTGACTCTAAATGTTCTTTACTTTCCAACTTGGGCTCTTGCAAACCAGTACTCTTGCTTATCTTGTCATATGATAACTCAAGTAATTCTTTTGATGTACTCTCATCATTGGTAGGCACTACAAAGGCGTGGTAACCTGCCCATAGTACCAGAAAGCTGATAAATGTTACCATAGTGAAGACCATCATACTGCTGTAAAAGACATTGGATATAATTAGCACTAACGCATGAAATGATGGGCTTAACATATAAAATATATATCAACAAGACTTTAAAGGTTGGGACCAATTCATGAGTTAGCTACACCTTCACATCACAAATAAGTCTTTAAAACCAAATAAAGCAATTAAAGTAGAATACTGCATTGGCAGGCTCTCACTTTGCCCTTCATCTGGGTTAGTCATATTGAATTTGAGACAACCATCCAGTTCCAGCCATGACATTTCTAACCACACCCTGCAAAATGCAGTGTACTTGGCAAATGCTGCAGCTTCTGAGAATGGGAGGGGGATTTACTACTAAGAGCAGAGACGTTACCGAGAAAAAATTAGGGCTTGAATGTCATGTACACTAATACTGACACGTTCCTTGATAAGAGAGAGGAGTTTAAAACACTACTGAAGGTACACCAACAGATATTGTAGGAGTCGCCGAACTGTTATACAAGAACAGGAGAATCGACCCAGAGGAATGCGAGTTCATTATTGCTGGATATGACTCATTTATGAACCATTCTCAAGAAACTTGCAAGAAGGGTGTGGTTATCTATGCTAGGCAAGACCTTGGGGTCAGCCAGGCGAGGGTACAGGGAGAGAATGTTTTTGAAGAGTCCAAGTGGTGTAAAATTAAACTAAAGGGAAGGGATTTACTTTTTGTCGGGTGTATCTACAGATCCCCAAACTGTGGCCCACTAAATCAAAGGAACTTAAGAGCCTTAATAGACAATGCAGCGATGCTCAACCCTAGCCACCTCCTTATCTTGGGGGACTTTAACTATGGCGACATCGACTGGAGAAACGAGTTCACCCCAAGTGACTTGAATAACCCTGCTACTCTTTTTGTAGAAACTCTGAGAGATAATTTTCTGTTCCAACATGTTAGAGACCCAACACATTACAGAGGGGAACAAACATCCAAGCCACTAGACCTCAACATAACAAACGAGGAGGGTATGGTGGCCAAACTGGAACACCTTGCCCCAGTTGGCACCAGTCACTATATAGTGTTGTCATTCAGATTTAACTGTTACCTAGTTCAAGATAAGGCCAGGCCAAGGTGGAAATATTACAGGGGAAATTACAACGGGATGAGGGAAGAGATGAGGGATATCCACTGGCCCGACTCATTAAGGCACATGAACGCAGACACTACGCTGAATATGATAACTAGTAAAGTAACCCATTTGATCGATAAATACATACTCAAGACCAAACCCAGTTCCTCTAGGAATACGAGGGGATCCCTACACATGAACCACGCGGCGGTCGACAAAGTTAAGAAGAAAACCCAGAAATTCAAGACGTGGGTTAGGTCAAATGATGAGCAGGACAGGAGGATGTATGCAAGAGCCAGAAACCAAGCAAAGATAGAGTGTAGAAGGGCTGAAAAGGAGTTCCAGAGGCTGGTTGCAAGAGAGGTCAAGTCAAACGCAAAGGCGTTTTACCGCGATGCCAAGTCGATATTAAAAACGCGTGTAGGAGTATCAGACCTGAGATTTGAAGATGGTAGTTACGCAGATTCTGACGAGGATAAAGCTGAGGCATTTAACAGCTTCTTTTCCTCGGTGTTCACAAGAGACGATGCGATTAACCTTCCTGCGTTTGAGGACAGACGGTTCAACACAGCACTGACCCACACTGTGTTCACAGAAGAGGGTATAAGAAATAAACTGTCAAAGCTCAAGGTCCATAAGAGTCCCGGCCCTGACATGGTGTCATGGTCACGTTGACTGCTGATCTATTTAACTAATGATTCTTATTAAACTCCACGCCCGCAAAACATGAGTGAGTTAGCAACCCCTGAGAAGACGTGTTTTTTCCCCATACACGCTACACTTGGGTTCCCTCCCAGAGTCCCGCCTTTGTGAAGACAGTTGTCAATGCGTTGTTATTCCACTTTCTCCTGGGAAGCTCAATCTTGAATTAGTCTGTGTAAATCAACTCAAGTAATTCGCTAGACCTTTGTCAACTGAGGGTCATCTTTGAATGAGTAACAGTTAGTTTGTTTGTAATTATTGTCATTGTGTGAGTAGCGATCACTGGCAACTCAGGGGTATATATACCCTAAGACGGGCCAGAGAGAGTGCTCTCTGACGCTGCTTCAATATTTCTCCAGGTATGTTTATGTGTAGCCATTCAGTAAATTCAGTCAATTGTAGTGAATATCAGTGTTCACCAGTGTTCATGATTTAACAGTTGAATTGTCATTCACCCAGTGTGGAAGTAATATAACGTAAATACATCTGTCATCTAGACAAGAGAGTTTGTTTGTGTTGTCATGCTCTCTGACGCTGCTTCAATATTTCTCCAGATCCCATTGATTCTTGCAACCATTCAACAACGGGCCCGGACGTAGTAAATAACCAGCAGGGATCATATACAAAACGATGGCACCGATGCGGCCTGATTAATGTGCCCCACAGCTTCGTTGGGCCAGACCCACCATGTGTCTGGCTACCCCACAATAACAACGGGCGTGAGCCCCAGTGCTCTACCCTGGGTTACTCCTTGGAAGTTTATGTCCACAGAGAGGGTTGTGACATGTATGTTAGGGATAATTAGATGGAAATAATTATCCCATGTTGGGTAGTGGACCCCTGTATATGCTAGTTTAATTATTAACGAGTATGTTGAGTAAGTACCGAGTTTGCACTAAGCCCAGGAGTTGAGCCTGGTAATTATATGATTAATACAATATCTTTCCCCATTGATTGCACATTAATAAACTTGTTTTTAGAGTACTTTAGGTGTATTCCTTTCTCCCGCAGTATTTTACCTTTATTTCCATCCAAGTGACTTGATACCAGAATTACCATACCCATGCGCCTGGGCCCTCGACCATGCTACCAAAAGAAGGTCCATGCTACCAAAAGAATAGGTGACGGAACTGAGTAAGAGTAAGACTAAGAGAAGTAAGTAAGATGAGGGTGGTGTAGAGATACAGAGAGGGAACCCGCGCCCTCACATTGGTGGCAGCGCCAGACTCGCGCTCTCACATTGGTGGCAGCTTGTTTGTTGTTACCCCCCCCCCTCACAATGGTGCATCCTAGAGTGCTAAAAAGAGTTGAGCAATGAGCTTGCCGAGCCCCTGAATATCCTGTTTTGTAAATGCCTGGATGAACGAAAGGTACCCGAGATATGCTAGGGACTGTCAGTTGGTCGAAAATGTTCAAAGGAGGGCCACCAGACTGGTGCCTGCACTTTGGCACCTCAGCTACCCTGAGAGATTGAAGTGCCTGAACTTGCCTCTCTTATACTACAGACAGGCAAGGGGTGACCGAATTGAGGTGTATAAGCATCTCAAGGGGCACTACTCAGTCGAGTGTCCTTACTTGGAGCTGGAGGACGCTCGCCCCACAAGGGGTCACAGCTCAAGATTGAAGAAGCCGCAAGTCCAGAAAACTGAGGGCAAACTTTTTCGGAGTGAGAGTTGTGAACTCTTGGAACAATCTACCAGAAAGTGTTGTGACAGCACCAAGTGTGAGCTCTTTCAAGACAAGACTTGACCAACACTGGAGCAGGTTCAGGTACATTCAGGAGCCAGTGCATGCCCAGTATTTGCCAACAGTGCGTGACAGAGACGTGACCGATCGCTCAAGCAGCTAACGAGCAGATCATTTGGTGAAGAGCATAAAAGAAAAGGAAAAGTAACAGACATGACTGATCGGCTAACGAGCCGATCGGTGGTGAAGAGGATAAAAGTAAAAAGGAATAAGGTTTTAGGGAAACAGGTTTTATGACCTGATTCGGTTTACCAGCCATCTGACATTCATGGCAAGTTCTACAGTGTCTGGCAACATCACCTTTCATTCCAGGCCAGTAAAAATGTGACAAAATCGTCTTGTATGCTTGTAGTGGATTTCTCCCCTACAAACGCTGTTTGTCGCTGAGTAGCCGACCCCACCAATTCCCCAGTGTATGCCTCGTGGTCTAGGTCAACCAGCGTCGCCATACATCACGGAGCGGGGGTCAACTACTAAGCCACGCCTACCCCCCGCTACTTAAGACCTGACCTCGTGGTGACCTGTCTCTTTCTACCCACACCAACCAGCCAGCAACACCACCTCCTCCTCCTCCTCCGCCTGCCTGGTGGTCCTCGCTCCCGCCGGAGAGCATAGCGACCCACAAGCTGGTCCTCCTCTGAGCACCCTCACCAACCAGCTCTCTCTACATCACGCTTGTAACCATGCTGCCTTCCCAGCACCAAGCTGCATTGTACATCCAATACAACATGTATATAGAGAGCACATTGTGAGTTTACTTTCTCCACCCCATTCTGAGTGTGAACCAAACATCCTAAAAACCCCACAATTGGTGACCCCCGGAGATTCGCACTCACACAGGATGGAGGAGAAACTGATCACGCTCCCAGTCTTCAAGCAACATGGAAGACTGGCTTATCCACACAGAAGCAGCTCTCATCGGCTCTACAACTACTGTCTCTACACCGCAGGTTAGACACCCTAGAGCAGCTCTGCTACTCTAAGCAGACAGTCGCTCCTCTTCCGACCCCAGCACACCCGTCCTGCCTCAGACGCCGACCCCGGCCCAGCAGTAACCCCTGCCGCCCCTGATGCGGCCCCTGCTCCTGACGCGGACCAACACACCCGTCCTGCCTCAGACACCGACTCTGGCCCAGCAGTACCCCCTGCCGCTTCTCCTGACGCGGCCCCTGTTCCTGAGTGCGGACCCACACACTCCTCTTTTCTCCCTCAGGTACTCCCTGCTAATGTCCTGCACCCTGCTGCTGTCATGGACCCAGCTGCTGTCACGAGCCCTTATCCGCTTCTGCTGACGCAGCCCCTGCTCCTGACCCAGGCCCACACACCCCAGCAGGCGCATCTGACGACTCTGTACCTGCCGTGAGGGAAGAACAAAATTCATCGCCTCCACACACCCTTTTTCTCCCTCTTTACTCCCACAGATATTGTGTATCTAGACAGTTGTGTCCAGCGACCGGCTCATCCACGCCATCGCCGTTGTCTCACATGAGGCATGCACCGCCCGTTCTGCCTCACATGTGCTATGCAACCCTGCAGACAACAAGTCTCCTACACCGCCTGGAGGGAAGGGGGAGTATTGTAGTGGATTTCTCCCCTACAAACGCTGTTTGTCGCTGAGTAGCCGACCCCACCAATTCCCCAGTGTATGCCTCGTGGTCTAGGTCAACCAGCGCCGCCATACATCACGGAGCGGGGGTCAACTACTAAGCCACGCCTACCCCCTGCTATTTAAGACCTGACCTCGTGGTGACCTGTCTCTTTCTACCTACACCAACCAGCCAGCAACACCTCCTCCTCCTCCGCCTGCCTGGTGGTCCTCGCTCCCGCCGGCGAGCATGGCGACCCACAAGCTGGTCCTCCTCTGAGCACCCTCACCAACCAGCTCTCTCTACATCACGCTTGTAACCATGCTGCCTTCCCAGCACCAAGCTGCATTGTACATCCAATACAACATGTATATAGAGAGCACATTGTGAGTTTCCTTTCTCCACCCCATCCTGAGTGTGAACCAAACATACTAAAAACCTCACATGCTTTCCTTACTCCTAAATGTCCTCCCAAAAAGTCGTGTGCCAACTTCAAGATTTCTCCCCGGTGACATCCAGGAGTCAACCTGATTGCACAATATTCCACTCATCAGCAGCACCAGATACAGACCAGAACTTCCTCGCAAGTAACCCTGAATCCATGTAGTAACAAACAGGCAAGCGAGCTGATTCTTCCACATCCACAGCCTTCCTACATAGTTCAACAAATTCGGGGTCACTCTGCTGATCATCTATCAGTTTTTCCCAAGTGACAGGTACTTTCTGAATGGTCAAAGGCAGGCATAAGTCTCGAATGTTTTGTCACATCAAACAATTTTGTCTCAGATTCTAAAGGCAATGCCTGTAAGTCTCGTATTCTACCGCTAGCCTGTGCTAACTCTAATTCAAGCTGCTTTTCAAGCTCTTTCCTTTTCTTCTTTCCTTCAAAGCCAACTCGTGCTCCATTTCTAACTTTCTTGTCTCTACTTCTTCCTTGGGATCAAATGCACGCAAAGTCAGTGCCCCCCTCGGTATTACCTCATTCACAAATAATGCGTCGGCAGGTCAGTCGTCAATATTAACCATATATTCTAAGTTCATTCAATTTGGTTCCATTTTACCAACAAAATCAGAATAAAATACAATTAATGATACAACTACTGTGTATGTGTTGACATTGCATCTATGAAGCTGCAGGAAATAACGTCGTCTAACTTTTTAAAATCGTTCCTGATATTGATCATGGTCAATTAGGATAGTGCCCCGGTGTTGGTTAAGTTAGGATGGGGCGGTTAGCACCAGAAACGAAGGTCAGAGTCGTTCGAATCACAGAACTATAGAAAAACTATATTTTGGAAAAATCGAAACCTGGCTACTATCATAAATTAACCTTGATCATAATTACCTTTACATTAAGTAGATTAGAGTCATCTCGTACTTCGTAATTGCTCTATTTATATCTCAGGCACTGAGTTCCTTGATATGTTGTTCCTCGTGGAGCCTCTCACCCTTCTGGTGACTGGTGACTCTGGTTCTGTTGACTTGAACCCTTGCGATAGCAAGTTTTAGCAACTATCATCTTTTATTAACCATAAAAGAAAGTAAATATGATTTGGAAATAATGAAAAACAAACAAAATTAACACTTTTGTATAACTACCTGGTAGTGTTTTAGTTTAGCAGTCAATCACTAGATGACAGTAGCGACGGTCATATCGGTCTATTCGGTGACATGGAGGCGCCATGTTGTTGCTCATCCTTACTCATGCCTCACACAACCTTCCATCTTCAGAGCCTCTCACCCTCACAATCACTCACAGCCTTTCACCCCCACACAAGCAAATCACGCCATCCAAGCCTCACACCCTCACAGACATGCAGCATCACAGCAGTTTCACACACCCTCACAGGCATACAGCATCACAGCAGTTTCACACACCCTCACAGGCATACAGCATCACAGCAGTCTCACACACCCTCACAGGCATACAGCATCACAGCAGCCTCACACCCTCACAGCCATGCAGCATCACAGCAGTCTCACACCCTCACAGACATACAGCATCACAGCAGTCTCACACACCCTCACAGGCATACAGCATCACAGCAGTCTCCCACACCCTCACAGGCATACAGCATCACAGCAGCCTCACACCCTCACAGGCATACAGCATCACAGCAGTCTCACACACACCTCCCACAGGCATACAGCATCACAGCAGTTTCACACCCTCCGCAGGCATACAGCATCCACAGCAGTCTCACACACCCTCACAGGCATACAGCATCACAGTAGCCTCACACACCCTCACAGACATACAATGTCACAGCAGTCTCACACACCCTCACAGGCATACACCATCACAGCAGCCTCACACACCCGCACAGCATACAGCATCACAGCAGTCTCACACACCCTCACACAGACTGGCATACACCATCACAGTACCTCACACACCCTCACACCATACACTGTCACAGCAGCCTCACACACCCTCACAGACATACACCACACACCACCAGTCTCACAGACATGCAGCATCACTGCAGCCTCCACCCACAGACATGCAGCATCACAGCAGCTCACACCCCCCCACAGACATGCAGCATCACAGCAGTCTCACACCCCCCCCCACTTGCAGCATCACATCAGCCTCACACCCCCACAGACATGCAGCATCACAGCAGCCTCCCACCCCCACGGCCATACAGCACCACAGCAGCCTCACACCCCCACAGACATGCAGCATCACAGCAGCCTCCACACCCACAGACATGCAGCACCACAGCAGCCTCACACCCCCACAGACATGCAGCATCACAGCAGCCTCCACACCCCCACAGACATGCAGCACCACAGCAGCCTCACACCCCACAGACATGCAGCATCACATCAGCCTTACAGCCATACAGCATCACAGCAGCCTCACACCCCCCACAGACATGCAGCACCACAGCAGCCCCCACCCCACAGACATGCAGCACCACAGCAGCCTCACCCACAGACATGCAGCACCACAGCAGCCTCACACCCCCCACAGACATGCAGCACCACAGCAGCCTCACACCCCCCACAGACATGCAGCACCACAGCAGCCTCACACCCCCCACAGACATGCAGCAACAGCAGCCCCACACCCCACAGACATGCAGCACCGCAGCATCACACCTCCACAGACATGCAGCACCACAGCAGCCTCACACCCCCACAGACATGCAGCACCACAGCAGCCTCACACCCCCCAGACATGCAGCACCAGCCTCCCACCCCCAGACATGCAACACCACAGCAGCCTCCACACCCCCCAGACATGCAGCACCACAGCAGCCTCACACCCCCACAGACATGCAGCACCACAACAGCCTCACACCCCCCCACAGACATGCAGCACACAGCAGCCTCACACCCCCCAGACATGCAGCATCACATCAGCCTCACAGCCATACAGCATCACACCAGCCTCACACCCCCCACAGACATGCAGCATCACAACCTCACCCCCCCACAGACATGCAGCACCACAGCAGCACCACAGCAGCCTCCACACACCCCCAGACATGCAGCATCACATCAGCCTCACAGCCATACAGCATCACACCAGCCTCACACCTGTATCACATCCCCACACCTTTACACCAGCATCGCACCCTCACACTATACCCAGTCAGCTATTTTCGTTTGTAACAAAAAAAGAAACTGCATAAAAAAGATTATTCACTGAATACTTTTGGGCCAGTGGCAAATACCCCATTTGCCCCTGCTATTATTTGCCACTGACCACCTTCATATCCCCAAACTTAGGTACCCATTTACAGCTGGTGAACTGGGAGTGCCCAGGAATCAAACCTCTGACTACTGGAACAGCAGGCGAGCACTAATTCCATTTGATTGCCATGCTTCTATGTTGGTAGACGAGGCAGAAATGTTCTGTAAACTCGTCATGTCATATGTGTTCCTCTTTTCTGCCTTGCCTGGACTGACTCTCATGGACTTCACACACAATAACTATGTACTGTACAGTATATTTTATTCTTGCACTTGGGATGATCCTCAAGCTTCTCTTGAAAAGTTTCTCTGTTTTATCAAGTGTTTCCTTAACTTTAACAAGAGTAATCTTTTCAACTTGCTTTAATTCAATTACAAACCATAATCCATATTCCTCTATTTCTGACTTCAAAATATTTTTTTTATACCTGTAGTCTACACAAGTTTAGTCAGTGATGGTCTAATACTATCGACTAAATACTTTGATAAGTTCTACAATGTTTTCTGTCCATTATCATCAGCATTCACACAATCCTTATCACAGTAACTGCACGTCAGCCACTTTTTAACTTATAACTGAGCTAGCTTCAGCACTGAACCCAAGTTGCACAACTCATTAACACAGTCCAGGGATATATCCCCAATGCTGAGTTTCTCCAATCTAGTTAAGGCCACATGATGATCTACATACAACACACTGAAAAATTTAAACAACTTGCTGTTGGCCATTTACACCAATGCACCTTTTGTGTACCGTACCCATCTTCCACACCCAGTGAACATTACTGAGTTGCTGCCAACACCTATCTTACAGACCAAACATGGCCATTTCCCACTTTCCACCACAGGTCCTTCTCCCATTACCGTACTTTTGTTTTTGGCACATTTACTCTGACACCCTCTGACTTCTTTACGTATTTCTTTCTTAAATTTCTCAACTATTTCTTCATTACTGTCTACTATCAACTCTATGCTGCCAGCATACAACTACTCCCAGGGCAGACTAGTTCTAAAATCCTTTGTTAATACTTCTAGACCCTTGATGAACCTCTACTTTCACCTAAAATTTCCCACTTCGTTTTCATTTACTTTCACACCGGTTCTTAAGCCCTCATAGTGCCATAACCACTCGAACAAGATACTGTACTGTACTTCTGAATCCCTAACTTTCTCATTGCCAAAACACTACCTCACATGGTACCCTGTCAAATGCTTTCTCTAACTCTGCAAATAAAAATTACAGCTTTCTCCCATTTATATTTTTTGTTTAGTTGCCTGGCCACAAATTCATCATATTGATAGTCACTCTTTCCACAATTTTCATAACCTGATCTAACAGCTTCAGGCTCCTGTGTTTTTCACATTCAAGTGCATCACCTTTTCTTTTGTAAGTACTGTACTGCATTCACAATTATGCTGTTCAACCAGACAGCTAGAACAATACATTCCATCAAAATTATATTCATCAAATCAGTTAGGTTAGGTTGAAAGTGGGTCCCATAGGCATGGCTGCCCATTAGAGACAGTGTGGATACAGCACACTGTATACTAAGCCTTCAGTACACAAGGAGGCAGCATGGCCGGTACTGCTCTCGACTGCATTCACTTTCCCAAGTTGTAAACTTAGGTACCCATTTATGGCTGGGTGAACTGGGAGCTCCCAGGAATTGAACTACAGTACAGACCCTGGAACAAGAGTCGAGTGCTGCGTTACTGAAGATTAGCTTAATTTTCCAATTTGTTAAGTTATATACTTTTTTGCAACTGGGTAGATTGGGGTTGCCTTAACTGTATCCTCCTGGCTACTGCATCCCTAGCCTTACTCTTAAGTTTATCCTCTTCACCACTGATCAGCTCGTTAGCAGCTTGGGCAGTCGGTTACGTCTCTGTTATGCACTGTTGGCAAGTAGTGGGAATGCACTGGTTCCTGAATGAATCTGAACCTGCTTCAGTGTTGGTCAAGTCTGGTCTTGAAATAACTCACACTTGGTGCTGTCACAACACTCTCCGGCAGGTATGTTCCACGAGTTCACAACTCTCACTCCAAAAAAGTTTGCCCTTACAGATTTCTGGATTTGCAGCTTCTTCAGCCTTGAGCTGTGACCCCTTGTGGGGAGGGCGTTCGTCAGCTCCAGGTATGGACACTCGACTGAGTAGTGCCCTCAATTATGTCACAACCTTTAAAGCTCTGAACTTTTATTAGAAAGGAGTCTAATAATTCTGTCAACCTTTCATCATCCCCAACAAAATTAAGTGGACTAAATGCACCAACACTCATAAGAGAAATTATTGCCTTTATATACATTTATTATGAACTCATGTTAAGAATCTTTGTTATAAGCTACAGTATTGCAGTATACAGTATACAGGTCTTGCCTTTTTATTTTTTTCACCAATGCATGAAACAAAAATTTGTCTTGAATTTAAAGCAATACTGTACAAAAGAAGACACCCAACTGTCTTACTGTATCTGATGGTACAATATCATCATAAATTTTTTTTGCCCATTTTCCATGTTAGTATCTGATGGAAAGAAGGAAATACAAATTATTTTCATTTTTCAAAAGTATATTAAAAGATTGTTTTTCTTTACAAACAGTACATCATATGCTGTTACCTATTTTTACAATACTACTGATAAATAACAGGTACAGTATTTTATTTGGAGCACAGTATACATAGTGTACAGAACATATTCTGGAAACTCGTATATACTATATATGCAAGTAAATCACTGTAGGTGCGCGTGA